CGCACACAGTTGTTTTTATAGTCTTTAAAGGCTTGTTATTTTTATCTAGAACGTCAGCAAACACTTTTTCTCGATCTATTTTTGATAAACACAAAACATGAAGAAACTTCAACTTTTTGACCAAAATCATGGACTATCCCCTTTGCAAAAATGCCAATTTTGCCTTCTTTTTAAATCCATGTTTATATTGTCTAGAAAGGCTTGTTTTTTAACGAGAAAGTCACCAAATACTTTTTTTGGGTGTATTTTGCATAAAACGAGACGTTCACAAAATTTCCAATTTTTGACCGAAACCATGGACTAAGCCCTTTGCAAAAATGCGAATTTTGTGGGTTTTTGAAACCCATGTTTTTGTTGTTAAGAAAGGCTTGTTTGCTATATAAAACGTCGAAAATCGTATTTTCACGATTTATTTTAACGATCTATGACATGGGAATACGGGGGCTTACAAGGGGTTACAGGGGGTTACAAGGGGTTACAAGGGGTGACAGGGGCTGACAAGGGGTTACAGGGGGTTACAAAGGATTATAGAAACTTTTTTCTAACTAGAGCGTTCCCAGATAGTTTTTCTTGATCTATTTTGCATAAAAATCAAAGTTGAAGAAATCTCAAATTTTTGACCAAAACGATGGAGTAACCTCTTTGGAAAAATTCTCATTTTGCGTTTTTCGCACACAGTTGTTTTTATAGTCTTTAAAGGCTTCTTATTTTTATCTAGAACGTCAGCAAACACTTTTTCTCCATCTATTTTTGATAAACACAAAACATGAAGAAACTTCAACTTTTTGACCAAAATTATGGACTATCCCCTTTGCAAAAATGCCAATTTTGCCTTCTTTTTAAATCCATCTTTATATTGTCTAGAAAGGCTTGTTTTCTAACGACAACGTCACCAAATACTCTTTCTGGGTGTATTTTGCATAAAACGAAACGTTCACAAAATTTCAAATTTTTGACCAAAACCATGGACTAAGCCCTTTGCAAAAATGCCAATTTTGTGGGTTTTTGAAACCGATGTTTTTGTTGTTCAGAAAGGCTTGTTTGCTATATAAAACGTCGAAAATCGTTTTTTTACGATTTATTTTCACGATCTATGACATGGGAATACAGGGGGTTACAAGGGGTTACAGGGGGTTACAAGGGGTTACAAGGGGTTACAGGGGGTTACAAGGGGTTACAAGGGGTAACAGGGGGTTACAAGGGGTAACAAGGGGTGACAGGTGGTGAGAAGGGGTTACAGGCGGTTACAAAGGATTATAGAAACTTTTTTCTAACTAGAACGTTCCCAGATAGTTTTTCTTGGTCTGTTTTGCATAAAAATCAAACTTGAAGAAATCTCAAATTTTTGACCAAAACGATGGACTAACCCCTTTTGAAAAATTCTCATTATGCGTTTTTCGCATACAGTTGTTTTTATAGTCTTTAAAGGCTTCTTTTTTATCTAGAACGTCAGCAAACACTTTTTCTCGATGTATGACATGGGAATACAGGGGGTTTTTGAAACCGATGTTTTTGTTGTTCAGAAAGGGTTGTTTGCTATATAAAACATCGAAAATCGTTTTTTCACGATTTATTTTTACGATCTATGACATGGGAATAGAGTGGGTTACAACGGGTTACAAGGAGTTACAGGGGGTTACAAGGGGTTACAAGGGGTTACAGGGGGTTACAAGGGGTTACAAGGGCTGACAGGAGGTGACAAGAGGTTACAGGGGGTTACAAAGGATTATAGAAACTTTTTTCTAACTAGAACGTTCCCAGATACTTTTTCTTGGTCTATTTTGCATAAAAATCAAAGTTGAAGAAATCTCAAATTTTTGACCAAAACGATGGACTAACCCCTTTGGAAAAATTCTCATTTTCCGTTTTTCGCACACAGTTGTTTTTATAGTCTTTAAAGGCTTCTTTTTTATCTACAACGTCAGCAAACACTTTTTCTCGATCTATTTTTGATAAACACAAAACATGAAGAAACTTCAACTTTTTGACCAAAATCATGGACTATCCCCTTTGCAAAAATGCCAATTTTGCCTTCTTTTTAAATCCATGTTTATATTGTCTAGAAAGGCTTGTTTTCTAACGAGAACGTCACCAAATACTTTTTCTGGGTGTATTTTGCATCAAACGAAACGTTCACAAAATTTCAAATTTTTGACTAAAACCATGGACTAACCCCTTTGCAAAATTCCAATTTTTTGGGTTTTTGAAACCCATGTTTTTGTTGTTCAGAAAGGCTTGTTTGCTATATAAAACGTCAAAAATCGGTTTTTCACGATTTATTTTCACGATCTATGACATGGGAATACCGGAGGTTACAAGGGGCTACAAGGGGTTACAGGGGGTTACAAGGGGTTACAAGGGGTTACAGGGGATTACAAGGGGTTACAAGGGGTGACAGGGGGTGACAAGGGGTTACAGGGGGTTACAAAGGATTATAGAAACTCTTTTCTAATCAGAACGTTTCCAGATACTTTTTCTTTGTCTATTTTGCATAAAAATCAAAGTTGAAGAAATGTCAAATTTTTGCCAAAACCATGGACTAACCCCTTTGCAAAAATGCCAATTTTTTGGGTTTTTGAAACCGATGTTTTTGTTGTTCAGAAAGGCTTGTTTGCTATATAAAACGTCAAAAATCGGTTTTTCACGATTTATTTTCAATCAGAACGTTCCGAGATACTTTTTACTTGGTCTATTTTTACATAAAAATTACAAAGTTGAAGAAACTCTTTTCAATCATTTTACTTTTTTCTTGGTCTAAAAAAATCATGGACTAAATTTTTTGGAAACAAAATTCTAATTTTGCGTTTTTGCACACAGTTGTTTTTATAGTCTTTAAAGGCCTTTTTATCTACAACGTTTTTTCTCGATCTAAAAACGTCAAACAAACAAACTTTGACTTTTTGACGAAAATCTATTTTTGATAAACACAAAACATGAAGAAACTTTTTTCTAACGAGAATGTCACCAAATACTTTTTTCTGACCAAAAACGAAACGTTCATGGAGTATCCCCTTTGCAAAAATGCCAATTTTGTGGGTTTTTGAAACCAATGTTTTTGTTGTTCAGAAAGGGTTGTTTGCTAGATAAAACGTCGAAAATCGTTTTTTCACGATTTATTTTCAAGATCTATGACATGGGAAGACAGGGGGTTACAAGGGGTTACAAGGGGTTACAGGGGGTTACAAGGGGTTACAGGGGGTTACAAGGGGTTACAAGGGGTGACAGGGGGTTACCAAGGATTCTAGAAACTTTTTTCTAACTGGAACGTTCCCAGATACTTTTTCTGGGTCTATTTGGCATAAAAATCAAAGTTGAAGAAATCTCAAATTTTTAACCAAAACGATGGACTAACCCCTTTGGAAAATTTCCAAGTTTGCGTTTGCAATAAACAGTTGTTCTTATAGTCTTTAAAAGCTTCTTTTCTATCTAGAACGTCAGGAAACACTTTTTCTCCATCTATTTTTGATAAACACAAAAGATGAAAAAACTTCAACTTTTTGACCAAAATCATGGACTATTCCCTTTGGAAAAATGCCTATTTTGCGTTCTTTTTAAATCCATATTTATATCGTCTAGAAAGGCTTGTTTTCTAACGAGAACGGCACCAAATACTTTTTCTCGGTGTATTTAACATAAAACAAAACGTTAACAAAATTTTAAATTTTTTGAGCAAAACCATGGACTAAACCCCTTGTAACCCCCTGTAACCCGTTGTAACCCCCTGTAACGCCTTGTAGCCCTCTGTAATCCCTTGCAAACCCCTGAAGTCCTTTGTAACCTTTTGTACCCCCTGTAAGCTTCTGTAATCCCTTGTTACCTCCTGTAACCCCTTGTAACCCCCTGTAACTCCCTGTAACCTTCTGTAACCCCCTGTAATCCTCTGTAATTCCTTGTACCCGCCTGTAACCCCTACAATTTCCTTACCCTTGTAACCCTTTAAAATGCCCTGTAATCCCTTGTAACCATTTGTATCCTTTTGTATAGAGAGTGGAAAATACGAAACGTTAGGGGAGGTCGGTTTAAAACAAAACTAAGCTGGAGCAGCCGTAGTTTTTTGGTTTAAAAGTGACCCAGAAGTTTTGACTCTTTTTCCGCTTTTTCTCCTCCCTTCTTCTTTTCTTTTCCTTGCCTCATTTCAGTTTTATTTGGCGGGCATTAACTAGGCTTTATTTTGGTGCAAGACGGTTTAAGAAAGCTTTAAGATCTTTGCATTAGATGATAGAAGGTAGAAGAAGGCAGAAGGGGAAAGGAACAAGATTTTTATGGTCAGCGTTACATGGTTGATTGCCTATTAATTTTTCTCCAGCTTTCTTGAACAGAAACCTGCCCATTGTGGTACGGCTTGAAACATCTTCTAACCCTGCACAAGTTACGCGAACACGCCAGCTTTATGACCACAAGCAGCATTTGCTCAGTTCAATCAAAAAAAAAGAATTTTCGAGATAATTCAACTGCTTTGGCTGCAAAGAAAAGAATCTGAACAAACGGCTTTTGAAAATTAGAAAAACAAGTGCTGCAGGCCTGCCTTTCTTCAACCCTCAGTTACCCCATAAATCTCCTTGCAAGTCCTCGTAACTCTTTGCAACCCCTGGTTATCCCCTATAACCCTTTGAAACGCCCTATAACCCTTCGAATCCTTTTGTAATCCCCCTGTAACCCCTTTGTAACCTTACGCAACCCCTTGTAACCCTCTTTAACTCCTGGTAACCCCCTGTAACTCTTTGGAAACCCTGAAACGCCCTGTAATCCCTCGTAACCCTTTGTAACCGCCTATAGAGAGTGGCGTAAATAAAAACGTATGGTGCTGTCGGTTTTAGGCGCAAACAAGCTGAGCCAAGCGTAGTTTTATGGTTTAACAGTGGCACAGCAGTCTTAACTTTTCCTTTTCGCTTTTTATCCTCCCTTCTTCTTTCCTTTTTCTTTCCCGTGCATTTACTAGGCTTGATTTCGTCAGGGAACGTTTTTTAGAAAGCTTATAAGATCTTAGCATATTATACTCTTCACTTATAATAACACATCGAACTTACATCACTAGCGCACCAGTCAAACACAAGTGTGTAAACTGGCATGACTCTGAACTGCAGACTAAACGCTGCTTCCCAATCAGGTTCCGTCTCAATATGCCGCCCTGTCTTGCGTGTTGTCATATCCATTCCCTAGGAGAAGAATGAAAAGATAACATGGAATTTAGCTGCCTTAACGCTACGGTTAAACAGGAAACAAAATTGTACAATTTGTTTTGTAAGATTGCTGTAAAGCGAATTGGAAAGCAATGTTGCAAGCTTTACCACCCGCGTTCAATCTGCATTCCAACAAAAGTCAGGTTTGATTCGTGGGTGGTAAAATGCGCAACATCGCTTTCGAACAACTTTTTTTGCAGCAAAATGGCAAAGCAAGTTACAGGGTTTTGTTGCCCGTTTGACCATAGCTAGAGTGATAGCTAGAGTGTAACTGTCAGAGAAAAGGTCCCAGGGGCCAAAATTTGTGGTCAACCGATTTCGCTCAAACTTGGCAAAGAAGCTGAGGGTGATGAGATATTTTAAAAGCCACTTTGGCTCACTTTTCTGACTTTTCATTTCGGAGCTTCAGGGGGTCTAATGATTTGACCTTTGAGCACCAAAAATCCAGCATTTTGAAATTACGACAAAACCGCAATGGTAAATTGTGCTGCCAAATGAATTTGACCATGGACTCTACTATAATAAAGCTTTCAGTTCGTGCATGTAACTTTGTCCTCAAGGTATTCGACGGAGAGGAGCGTGGAGCCAGATTTTGGCCAAAATTGATGTCAAAATTACAACTCAAAATTGCCGTGTATCAAAATTTCCGTACATTTACCTGCCTTCTCGCATAACTTCCATACCTATACCACTGTGTACTATATAGTCACCCAATTATCAATACCTTGAGGACGCACTACACATGTCACACATTCTAGCCAGTGTGGGAGAGTGCGACCTGGTATTGATCAATTTTACAGCTGTCAAAACAATCTATCCGCTGACCATAATCACGTGACCATATTGCGGGCTCAGGTGTTGATCCATTAAGATTTCGTGTTTTATGTTTTAGCTTACCGCTGACAAGTTTCTAGTTTTCATCTGATCGCAGGCTCAACTCTGATTTAGTCCAGCCATATGGTGCAAAAAAATAGCTGAATTGTGCACTTTGGGGTAAAAGCATCAAACTCGGCACAGTGATAGTACTAGTTGTACTAATTATTTTTAGCTATGGACCCCACTCAAACATGCACGGGGGGAAGAACATTGTGCCCTTGAGAGGAGGGGTCATGGCCTTTTTGTTTTGGTCCGGAAAAGACTCAAAAACGGGAAGAAAGCGGCCTAAAAAACTTTTGCATTCCCATTTTCTTCAAAATAGTGCAAGGTAACCCTATAAAATACCTGTTACTTACTTTTCTGGGAGATTTTCTAAAATTATTTTAAAAGAGTGTGTAAGTGATTCTTGTCACAAGGGAAAGCCACGTAGAAGCAAGTTGAGTTCTGAAGGGCGGAATTAATTTGAGTTAAAGCATTACAATATTATACATGCACCCCCTGACACATCAAAACACTTCATTAATATTTTTGAGACACCTCCTGATGGAACAAACAAGACTGCACAGGGAAGAAACAAAAGGTCAGGCTACTCAAGGAAATTCTGCATGGCGGACAGGAATGGCTGGTCTTTTTGCTCTCTCGTTTGTGAGAGACAGTATGCCGTTTTTCACCCTTGGAAAGATAAGATGTTTCATTTTTACACTTTGATTGAAGTGAATTGCACTTTTTGGGGATTTAATTGCTCAGCCAAACTACCGCAAAAATAAAACATGAGACGCTTACAGAGACCTTCAACGACATGCAACAGGGATTTATTAACCCTTTCACTGCCAGATTGTTTGATGGGGTTTTGTAAGATGACTTTAACTTTTGATTCTATGGACGAAATCCTATGATGTGACCATTCAAATGAAAGCTCTCTGCTTGTACTTAAACATGATGCCATTTGTTTCTCAAAATTTTAGAAAATGAAATGTGGAACTTTGGTCGAAATTTGCCTTTGGCCACATTTGGCAGTGAAAGGGTTAACCACTTTTATTGCGGGCGACAAGAGTAGCCCGCAATTTTCATCTTCAGGTCATTATTATGCATGCATCGCAGGTATGTAGCCGGCATTTGTTTGGACTTCCACTTATAAGGATGAATGGAATTCACAGAAAGCAATTTGGATCTTCTCTGGTCACTTAGAATCTGATCACGCGTGTTTGGAACATCTATCAAGTGAAACTTGTGCGAAGCACAGCGTTGGAGTAACAGCGTTTTCATCTTCCATCGTTGTCGCCTTCACTCCGTAACCTTTGGTTTTCTCTTGTTTTCAATAATATATTGATCTCTCTCACACTCTATTGTCACCTTTACAATTATCAAAAATAAAAGTGCCGAGTTGAGGAGAAAAGGATATCTAACATCAGACGTCTGATAACAGTTAAATAACATAACATATAAAATCAGACGTCTGATAACAGTTATATGACAGCAGACGTCTGATAACAGTTATATGATGTCAGACGTCTGATAACAGTTATATGACAGCAGATGTCTGCTGTCATATATGTTATATAACAGTTATATAACAGTTTATATAACAGTTAACTGTTATGTAACATATATGACAGCAGTTACATAACAGTTATATAACACATATAACTGTTATATAACTTATAACAGTTATATAACATATATATAACAGTAAACTGTTATATAAAACAGTTATATTTATATAACAGTTGACATATATAACTATGTTATATAACAGTTATATATGTTACATACTGTTATATAACAGTTATATATATATATATTATATAACTGTTATGTTATATAACAGTTATAACAATTGTTATAAGTTATATAACAGTTATATAACAGTTACATGTGTTATATAACAGTCATATAACTGCTGTCATATAAATTGTTATATAACAGTTATATATATGTTATATAACTGTTATAAGTTATATAACAGTTATATAACACATACAACTGTTATATAACAGTTATATATGTTATATAGCTGTTATATAGCTGTTATAGTCATATAACTGTTATATAACATATACGACAACAGTTATATAACATATATAATTGTTATATAACTGTTATATATGACAGCAGACATCTGCTGTTAGAAGAACGCCACAGAAAGAAACACTGATAGTGAACAAGCCTCACATCTCTCAGTTTTTAAAAAGTATAATTGAGATCATCCTGGACCGATGCAGCTAGTATTGAGAAACAGTCAAGCAAAATCATACAGAATCGAGCTACTCTTTATAGCTTTTTAAACTTTGTGATTCGACGTCGCGAAGATTCATCGTGAGAATCCACTTCAAATTTATGTAAGTCTCCTGGGGCCCGTTTCTCGAAAGTCCCGGTAACGTTTCGGGCCCGAGATCAAATATTCAAATCGAAATATAAAGAATAAGAGCGTGGGTCCTGCCTAGCAGACTACTCCTTTTTGTTTCACTAACTGATGGTTTTATCATGCTAGATGCAAAACTATTGAGACCTCGATCTTTAATGTAAACGGCGACAGCTTACCGGGCCCGTTAATTATCGGAACTTTCGAGAAACCGGCCCCTGGTGACGATAAAATCCACCATAACCCCAGTTCTTCCTCCTGCAACTGGTTCTTTACATGGCACAGCAATCATAAGGGCTCTCGAGTGATGGAAAGTGTTATAGGATGTTGTACTTTTATTACGCAATCACAAAATGCAATCAGACATCCCCTTTCTTAGGACGAGAAAACCGCCTGGGCCACAAGGCTGCCTTATGGAGAAGCCACTGAACTTTTTACATCTCTTAGGAAAGTTTGAAGGGTGTTCAAGACACTATGCCCCGGTGCTTGAGAGATTTGTTATCCTAGTGTCTGACCACACAAACCGGAGCCAAAGAGTCAATGGTGCCAAAAAAGTTCCGGCTATTTGCACAAAAGGGAAGAAACCTTGAGAACTTCTCCACTATATCAGCACACCAAGAGAGTTGCCTAGCAAAGATGATACCCTGGGTGTGAAACGTGACCAAAGCGTAATGCGACAATGGGCTACTGGGCATGGAAAAGCGATGCAATGCACCACAAAGGATTCTGCGGGAACACTTCCCTTAAACATGTCCCAAAAGAATTACGCGTTGGAGAGAGAGTTGAGTTGGAATACAATGACACGAAAGGAACTCAGACGAAGACCGAGGAGCTTCTACTGATCTTGACAGAAATGTGAGTTGAAATTTGCTGTTAAGATAAATTCGCACTCGCTCCGGAAGAGTTTTCCTTATCTCCTTGTCGCATAGAGCGGTAGTTTCATACAAATAGATTGTATTTGTCAATGAGACGATGGTTTCGAGTGCTCTTTAACACCTTTTAAGATCACCTTGCCGACTTGCTGATAAGAAAAGAAGATGCTATCGTTTACTGAACTGCGAAGTGTGATCCATGATGACTGTGGTTTTCGGTTCTTTACCCCTTTGAGTAACGGGTACCCTGGGTGCGAGGGGCTTTTCATGCGCGGTTTCCGGTTTCGGTTGATGACTTAATTCGTGGATCGTGAAAAATGGTTTATAACGCATGTGATACGTGAAATTTGTCAAAATTTACACGTGAAACGGGACCGGTACCCCCCCCCCCCCCGCTGCTGCCCTCTTATGAATGATGTAACGATGATCAGGTGATTAAATAGCCTAAAAAAGTGCCTTAAGTCATCTACTTTATTTCCGCAGGTTGTTTAAATGATAATATAAGAAACGTGCGCTTACTACACCGGGAAAAACCCACCCATCCCCTGCCCCCCCCCATACACACCACCACCACCATCTCCACTACCATGGAGATGAAGAATAAGTTCAGAGGAGAAACTAATTGCTAAATTATTTAAAATTATCCCAGAATTCAGGAAAGGTCATTGTATTCTTCCTCACAACATACACTTATACAAACATGCAAACAGAGATACTCCTACCCCTCCCCCTAAGCTGTGTTGAAACCTTCCCCCCCCACGCCACCTAGAAAGTTGGATTAAATAGACCTTGTTAAACTTCCCTAGGACACCATTCCCTATTGATATAGCAGCTTTCTTTTCAATAACGGCAGTTAAATTGGAAACCGCAACCACCCCACCCCCCTGAGTACAAAATGTCCCCCCTGACTGGGGTCCATAGCTAATAATAATTTATTGTTCTGCAGCCCAAGTACTATTACCATGCCAAATTTCGTGCTTTTACCCCAGAGTGCACAATTTTTTTCACCATATGGCTTGACTAATTGGATTTCCTTATTGCCACGTTTTTTCGTTAACTGGAGCTTCGCCTTTAGCCTCTGCTACATCTATATATTACTGGTATGTACAGGAGATAGGACTATTTTGTCACTACAGCTTAAACCTCAAGACACTACTGCTTAAAAAAACACAATGAGAGGAACTAAGGAGAATTTGTAGTCTGATTAAATTTAAAGAAGAAGAAATAGCACTTACCTGCATACACTTGAGAAGCTCAAAGAACTTGTCTAAAAATTTAATAAACTTCCCTCTGAGTTCCTCTGTCCATTCTGTGGGCTTGTGGATCAGAATGTACCTACACATGAAAATGAGATATGAAACAAATTTAGCATTCAAATGATCAGAATTCTCTAATCGCTGAGGAGAGGTGCTTTTGACACGTATATTTGCAGCTATTGTAAAAAATACCATGTACAGTGTTCCAACAAATACAGGATGACAGCGCCTTTTACTTTCGCACACAAAGGAAGTACATGGTACATGATCGAACTGAATATGACAAAAAGACTACAAAATAAGACACAGGGTGGAGAGGAGCTACATTGATGTATTAGTGACTTGGTTGCAGTTTAAAATGTTACAGTTGATACAGATAGCGAGATTTGCTTTCGTTTACTGTATAGTCGATTATGAACTTGGCGGATCAAACCGTAATGCGATCTTTCACGCCTCACTTTTTGATTGGCCCCCCTCACTGAGCATTGAATAATATTTTACCAGGTTTCTAACACGAGACCATGATGGTTTGATCAGTCAAGTTCATATTAGATTCTACAACAGTTCTAACTTGGCAAATCGCGCTATCTGTATTAACTGTAAAATTTTAAAACTGCAATCAAGGTCACAAATTACTTCTCTGCTTTCTTTGCTATCTGTGAATAACATGGCAACAGTAAGCAAAAACGTAATCATTCTTAAAACTAGAGTGTGTGAACCTGTCACGGTCCCTGCAGAAAATCAAAAGAGGTGCTCAAATACCAGTCCACACAAGAGGGTCAACAAAAGCTATCATATTAGAATTGTGTTGTCTTGTGTCGAACGCAATTGCATCATGGCTACTGCACTTACTTGAGATCTATCATCATGTAATAGGCTCTCTTCAGTTTATGGAAGGACTGCTTCTGAAATTCAAATGTTCCCCGGTCTAAAATGAAATAGGTCACCATATTAACCAACAACAGTCAGACTGACATCATGTGTACTTAGAGTGCACCAAAACATGTGTCTGATTGTCCGGGACAGGTAGAAATTAAGTTCAGATGTGTAAACCTTTGACATGAAACAGTTGACATCAAATTACAGTAGAATTACTTCTGTTAAGACGTATGCAACTCACTTCCAGGCTCAAATTTGGGAGTCGATAATGGTGAAATCATAAAAATTCCACAAACTACAGTCTTCATGCTTAGGTTTTCTTTCAAAGCAACCGAGAAAAGAAACACCTTTCATACTAGAAAAGAATTAAGTGAATCAAGAACACAATTAAACGCCCAATTGTTTTTCGAGAATCAAGTTTTGAGCAAAACTTCTTGGACAAGAACTCTTGGGTTTTAAACCACCAAATATAATAATATAGTGCTTGTCCGAAGAAGAAGAAAATTTTTCTCCTAGAAAATTATACATAGCCCCATAGGGGCACTTGTTCTTGAGGACCCCCCCCCCCCCCTCCCTCGTACATGTATTTCCATCCCAGACATCCTTACTCAGTAACAAAAAAAGAGAATGAAAGAGTGAATGCAAAAGTGATTCTCTTATTTTCGGCCAGAGAGAGGAATTCAAACATACCATTTATAGCAGGCCTAAGATGGTCCATAAATGACCCAAGAATAACTTCCAACACATCATGATCCAAAATCAACATCCTGGCCTAAATTAAAAAGAAAGCACATTAATTTTCATGAATGCTGCAAACCTCTGTTACGTACATGGAGAAGCAAATTTATTTGCCAATATTAATGAGGGGGAAATTTAAAGAAATATTTTAAATACCCAGCACCAGCCAGGGTTGATTCTAATGTTTCAAGTCACCAGCTACATTCGTTCTTATGATGTTCTGTCAGACATGATATAGTGGTCCTTATTGGAATGTCTACTAAAGCAACAGCTTGAATTTCGCTATTTTATGGATATTAATATGTCTAGTATTAAATTTCATGATCTTAATCTTCACGAGTACTAGATTTTGCAAATAATAAATTTCATAATTTTTTCCTAGTGGTGAAAATCGTGAAAATTAATACTCGCAAAATTAGCATATTGTGTATGTACATGAATGTCTGTTGTATAAAGAAACACAATTGACTTCAAAAGTAGGTTGAGTTTGATCGTCCAGGTGAACGTAGTCCTGAATAGGACTGTTGTTGTTGACAGTGACTGACGTTTTGACAACCTGTGCGGTAGTCATCTTCAGAGTCAAAGAACCTTTCACACAATTGACTTCACTTAATAAAATGTTAAAGGTACATTCAAGGTCGCCTAATAAATCTAAGAATCCTTTTATAAGATTTTCTAGATTTTCTGCATTTCGCGCTCCACAGAAATGCCATACTGATGAGCAATGTTGAAAATGCATTAGGATGAAAGCCTTGTACAGTTTTGCCAATTTCGTTTTGGTAATCAGTTTTTTTAATTGCAACATGGTGTTAAATTGGGTTCTATTTTCCTATTAAAGTACCCATGGGTGTTACTCATAGAAGCTCAAGGGAAAGCCCTACCTCCCATTCCTTTAAAAGTGACAGCCTTGACTGTACTAACCCTTGAACAGTTTTACGGTGAGATACACTGTAAGAGTACAAAGAGAGTACAGAGAAACTGGGTGGGATATTAAAATTTGAATTATGAACTGGTGGTTTCCGAAGTTTCTAAGTTTTACAACTGCAACAGTCTTAGCTGGTCATGAATTCAACTCCTAAGTGGTCTGACAATAAGAGTGCATAATATCTTGTAAGCAATAAAATTTTACAAGGCTAGACAGTGATGCTTTGCTTTGTAACTGGTGTAACTTTGCCATACTCCGTCAACTCGAAAGACTGTAATAAGAGTAACACAGGGTCAGTAATAAAGTAACTTACTATTGTGGGAACAGTGAAAAGCTGAACTGACAGAGAGGTCACCTGTGATGGAGTAAACAAAAATTTTTAATTAGTTCCTTAACTTTTGCAGTAGCTTGTACATGTACATGTATGTTAGCATTCAATGGCACCACTGGATGTGGTCAATGGAAAACATGGCTGGTCATCGCTGCTTTTTTCAAAAGTGACTCATACTATAGTACGAGTTATTCAGCTGAGGAGAATGGTGGATTTCTACTTATTATTTAAACACCAATGATATACCAGGTGAGCTTTTGCGCGAAAACTTGGTACCTTCACATGTGAAAATAACACCCTTGCTATGGCTACATAATAAATCGCACACCTTTCACACCAAAAAACTATTAAAGTGAAATGGTTTGGTAGTTCATTGGTGTTTATATAATAAATAAAATATTACATGGCCGCTTGGAGATACGAAAGTTCTCTTTTCGTGTTGAAAAATATTTCACTTGTTCGCTGCGCTCACTCGTGAGATATTTTTCAACACTCGAAGAGAAATTTCGTATCTCTGTGCGGCCATGTAATATCCTCTATCAGTCTCTAACACATTTACGTCATAATCAGTGCACAAAGCACTGAAATCCTTTACTCACCGATACAATGTGCTCATGATCATCATCAACGAAGTCCTTTTGAATGTTATTATAATGCTGTAAATTCAAGACATTTCTAGCATCAATGCAAGTTTAAACATCTCCACAAATACTTACTCATGATGAGTTACGAGATATACTTAACTATAACTCAAAACACCACCTTTATTCTCAGTTTAATAATTACAAAACTGAGCTACAACAGGATCACTGAGAAAACCATCCATTTTTAGATTAACAAGTTTAATTTTTTTAGCAAATTTTTTGTTTGGCTGCTCCTAGGAGTGAAACCTTTAACCAGCCTCGGCCTCAGAATACTGAGATAATGTTGTGACCATTAATTTTGTCAGAGGTGTTAAAAGCCCACTGCATCCAAAAGTGAGAATTCCTGCCGGCCAAGTGCACAAGAACTGTCTATTTATTTATTATTATTTTTTATAACTGCATAAATGGAGCCAAAACCTATAGAATGTTATAAAGTACAAATTTTGCTACACTGTACACATGTATGTACCTTGGTAAAATGAATTGCAAAGGCTTTCTTTCCCACAGGATCCATAAACATTCTACAAAAAATAAACCTCATATTAGTCTAAAATGGCACTCCATGGTGTGAACTTTTGATCAAGGTTTATATTTTAAAATGAATAATCATCACAGACACCTTGAAAATTCTGTACTTACGTGTTCATGAACAATTTGTGGGTGTGTGCCCTGGCAACTGTTAAATAAAAACCAAAAATCAGCACAAAAAGATTGCTGCTACACTGTACCACTCGATTCTTCTGTCCCTTATACATGCAAGGAAGTGATACAAACATGCATGACGATGAATACAAAGATGATCGATCACATTATTATCTTGTAGTGCTAATGACGAGAATGATGTTAACAAAAATAACTGAATACAATGATGATATGATGATGATGAATGATGTGATAATGATGATGATGATGATGATGATGATGACAACAGTGAGTCAATTAAACATTTTCACGCACATTTTACGTTAAGCTGTTAGTAATAATGTCATAAAGATGGGCTTGACTACACGACAAAAACAAGTTACATTACCTTTCCACAAAGTAGAATCAGCTAAAAGAACTCTCCCAAGCAGATCTGTGTCCTCGTCTTTAGATTCAAGCACAGTATTGCAGAGTATTCTCCTGAGACCATCTGGAGAAGACAGGAGACTGAAATTATTCACATTTATAGTTTGCTAATCAAAAGGATAACCGTACACATGCAAGGGTGTATTGCTCTCATTGAAATTAAAGAATTATACTGCACGACAAAACAGGAAGAGGGTAAATTACAATCAAAGTTTATTACTCGATGACTGCCATCATGGATTTGAGCTTTCCAGGTCAGCGGACCGCCACAGCTACTTTGTGTATCCTTTACGATAGTGTATTATACATGCCAGGACCACGTGTTGGAAAGTCTGAAAATGGCTTTTTGCGTTGTGATACTTGACTCCAAATATCCCAAAATGACTCCAAAATTTGTGAAGCAGAAGTCACACTGACTCCACTCGTCAATAAAATTTGCAAACCCTGCTTGTTCTCCGACTTGCAAGCAAAAATCCTCAACCTTGCACATGCCTTGAAACTCAAAACAATTTAGGTAAGCTAAACTACAAACCAGAATGAACTGCAATCTTGTTTAACCACCCAAGCATTTGAACAGCAAATATTTGATGAGCAATGACTTTGTGATGCATTACACGGCACTTCAGTGGTTTACGACTGGGTCCCGATGTACCACTCTGTGATTCAAAAAATATATAAAAACAGTGTAATGACATTTATGAGAATCTGGATTGATTTACATTGTATTGTCTCAAAAGAGAAAAATTAATGTACCAAGACTGTAAGTAACCTACAAAAAGGTCATGTCAGGATATAAAAAACGCAATTTATTTAAAGTATTTACGAGGTGTCAAATCCAAGGAAAAAACTTATTAGCAAACAGAAGCTTTTGAATCCATCACTGAATCTTTATCAAGTGATGGCTAATTGTCTATGCTAATATGTTTTCTATCCAGGGATTTGAAACCTTGTTTACTTGACCTAGCTATCACTGTGACAGGAGTAAGTACCGTAATATTAAGCCAAGCGATTTTTACACATGTTTAGCCTAACTTGAATTAAAATCTGACTTGTAGAGGGGGTTTCGGCTTATAGCCGAGAGTTTAACCTGAACAAAAATTATGGACTTAATAAAACTAAGATAAATACGCATATATTCGCATACAAGCCAAGCAAAACACATGGACAAAAAAGCAAGAGTTATTGGTCATTAACTTTTAATATGTGGTGGCTCCTAAAGGAGCCGTTTGTTTTCTGTTGTGAACTGCACGTTCGAGGATGTCAGCTTATGGCTCATCTTCGCTTTCCGTATCAAATTCTTCATCTGTCTCATCTTCTTCGTATTCCGTATGATACGGGATGCTGTATTCCCTCGTGATCTCAGAGTTGTTCTCGACGGCTTCTGCTTCGGCGACTATTTTAAGTTGAACGCTAGATTGTATGATGTACGACGGGCTTTTGGCATGATAACGGATTGACAATGAACGACTATCGACACAGGATTGTTAAAGACAGGTCTCTGAACTCGGAATGTTCATATGATCAAGCCGTGAATTCAATTTTATTCATTAATGTGATCCGATCAAATTTTGATCGGATCACATTAAATTCAGCTTAACTGTGATTTGTTGTTATTCTTAGCAATTGTATTGAGTAGGTAACAATATTGATACAGTTGTTTCCCGAGAGGTAAGCCTAGCTTTCGTTAAATATTCATGACACCTTGCTTTTCAAGCGAATTGCCCGTGCCGTTGGATAATTAACCCGTTCTTTCATTTCATTTTAACAGATTTTAAAAGCTAAATGCGATTAAAATTTTTCATGAGCTCTTATATGTTTTAAGAACTGGGTCTCGGCTTATAGCTGAATGTTTTGTGTTTATGTTTGAAGACGATCGTATTAAGTTTAAGAGTGAAAAGTTTAGGGTCTTGGCTAAACGGTAACTCTTTCTTTGCTAAAATTAATATGCAATTTGTTTGTTTTTTGACAGTCCTTTTTAAGTTTTGTACAAGTACATGGTGTAGACATAACACTATTACTGTTCTTTGTTTGCACCAATGTGAAAAGGTGCCTTAGTTGGTGGTCAAGAATACAATACATTTTTTTTCACAGAATTTGCATGAAAATATACAGTTTAGTTCCCTGAGGAGAGAAATTATGCCTTTAATTTTGATCAGCAAAATGCCTGTAACGTCACATGCAAACCAGCAACAGAAATACCAAGGTGATCAAAAATGGTGATAGCACAATCAACACTTAAAAGCACGTACAGCAAATATTGAAGACTTATTACTTTAATCAGTTTACATGTACAGAAGTTGCACTACACGCAGAGGACCATATACATCTGCCAATGTACATGTTACAGGTCAAAATTAAATGCAGGTTAAATTTCCTTACACCTACAATTGGTGACAAAATTGTTGAGACATTGTGCTCAAATAGGGTAACTTCAGAGAACAAAAGAATCCACACCCCTCCCCCTCCCCTCCATTCAAAGTTGGGGTGTTTGTTGTTTTCTATAGGTAGCTCGAACAGCGGCACAACATTGCATGGAGGGGATGAGGGAAGAAAAGATTAATTTTCCCCTTTTGAAGTCTGTAAAACATCAGAAAGCCCCTTTATAGAGAAGTGTCTCAACTAATTTTGTTGCCGAATGTAGGTTGATTCTCAATTTTCTTTGCCTCATTGCCTTAATTCATGAATAATCAGGAATAAGAGACAAAGAAAATATTGAATCAAAAAAATTTTTAACTTGCATTTAGTTTTGACTTGTAATACACACCTGCCTCTACGAAAGAGCCCCCTTCACACAATGGCCACCAAAAAAAATTAATAGTTTAACCCATTCGCCCCTGAACCGTCCGTAACCGCCCATGCGGATCCAGGTCCTTTCTACCCTTTGTGACGTCATCAGTTTTAACGGTCAAGGACAACTTTCTTCGCTAACTTGTGCAGAGTGAAGAGATCTTTCAAACCATACCAGAATGAGCACAATTCAGTCAAGGACACCAGAGAAAGAAGCAAAAAACCATGTGACAAGGACCTGAAAATCTCCATGAAAATCTTGTTCCATTACCCACCTACCTTTCCTTTCACCTAATCCTAAGATCCTAAAAGCTTTCCTAAAAACTCTTCCCACCAAAATGAAGCCTACTTAATGCCCAGCAAGAGAAAAAAAAAATGAGGCAAGAAAAGCGAAAAAAGAAGGGAGGAGAGAAAGCGAAAAGTAAAAGTCAGGACTGCTGTTTCACTTTTAAACCCAAAAATGTCTAAATTTTGCTTTCTGCGCATGCCCGAACTTCACAAGCTGATATTTTGCATCTGGATCAGAAGGCCGCCAAGTGTACGACCTGTAAACCGGTTTGTGGTAAGTTTTAGCTCTTTATAGCACGACAGTGACCAGAAAACCACTCGACTAGCTTCAAAACGCGTTTTTCGGCAAAATCTCGCAGGAGTGAATGGTTTAAAAGGTTGCTATATTATGTATAGGATCAGATGTAACACCACTCACCTTGATTATTTTTCTGGACTGCTCACATTCGCTATAACTCCCTGTCCTCACAATTGATCTTCCCTGTATTGTGAAAAACATTACTTACTAACATGGCATGGAAGATTACTTAAAATGAGGATGATTATGTAACTGGCAATAGATGAATCTTGGCAGACCTCATCAATTACGTTTGAATTTTTGCTCACTAGCATTGTTAACCCACAGAAATAGCCTAGCCTGAGAAAACAGCCAAAGTTATGCATCACACCACCAGTTGGTTTCCCCATGAGATGACACCTGAGGAACAACCACAGATGTTACTGCCCAGAATTTGGCAGTGCTTCAGATTGGTTGAGGCAAATTTCCCTCACAGCAGTGACCAATCAGAAGCACTACTCAGATAAGGGTAGTCACACATCATCAGTGCGGAATTTCTCCAGTCGGTCCTTAGACGGGAAACCACTGGCGACTTAGCAAAATGTCAGCCCTTTTCTCAGCTGGGGCACAACAGAAGGTGTTGCCTTTAAATTCAAAAGTTGAAAGAGCTGATCTTAACTTTAATAAGCCAATTGAACAATACCCAGCTCTTTGCAACAAAATATCTAAGGAAATAAAGGTGTAGCAGCAAAAATGCTGGGTGTCTCATTCATGTACCGCTACATGTATGCCCTTTCAGTATTCAGTATTTAATGTGGCAAAAAATGTATACAAAGAATGAATGGCCTGGTATTTAATTTCTTGATACGCAGTTAGTTCACGCTCCATTATTTTACCGTAATATTTTTCCCTCACCTCCCTGTCAACCGTGTTGGCATAAGCTAAAGCCTGATTTGGTGAGCACTCTGGGATAGCTTGCTGTAATGTTCTTATAACCTGACCAGGATGAAAAGGAAAAACTATTACTAAAAATGACATGACAAATTTCAAACCATTTCAAATTAAACAATAATATTCATACAATCATATCTGTACATTGTAAAGGGGAGGTTAAGCATCACGTTTATGTCAAACAGCAAACGCGAAGTTGTACCACGTGACCAAGTTTCCTCTTTACTTGTCGTTTACTGTTCATTATTTCTACACCTAAACAATTAGTTTCAAGTAATTTTTCATCCATAAGAATTGTTTTGAGCTGTTTTTATCTGCTCATTTTTTTTTCTATTTTGAGAAATTCTTAACTACAATCTGACGTTTGCCGTTTGCCTTAACTGAAACTTTAACTCTTTATAGTCAAAAAAAAAAAACTAGTGGAAGAAATAAATATGCAAAGGGCTGGTTGAAGAAACTTGTCTTTAAACCCTTTTCCTAACTTCAATGAGCCCCTGGAGGTAATTCTTACAAACAAAAGAGATTCCCCACTTCCTTGATGAATGTTGTTGCAAGCATTGCACTCAATCTTGAAGTCCTTACAACTTTAGAAGCATAAGAAGGGCATGAATTTTGCAAAGTCAACAAAACACCATTTTTGGGCAATGCAATGTAAGTTGCAATCTCTCACACCAACTGGTATTCATAATCAACTGCTGCAAAACTATTCCTGACAGATTTCCCACTGGAACTCTTTTAACTTTTAACATACCTCCTCATAAGTATGTACTTCATCATTGAACAACATTGTAGCAAAAATGTCTTCATTACAACTAAAAGAAAAAGATCAATGAAAAATCAACAACATGCCACTTTTAAAGATAGCCACAATTCTCGTGCCTAACATGCACAATTTTCATTGAAGCCTCATAATGCTTCCTTGATTGAGTATGACCACAGTTTTGTTCTGTGTTAGTTGGACATAAGCTTTGTATTACATAAAATTCTACAGTGCACTGTAAAATAACAGTTTGCCAGGACTCTTGGCAAAAGTGGGCACAGCAAACAATGGCAAGGCTGGATGAAGTTTGACATGATTTCGTGAGAATAATATATTAATGTATATTTGTTTTATTTGACGTCCAGTAGATACACCGTACAATAACACAGGGCTCAAAAAATATTATTCAATTTGAAACTAGTCAGCCATAAAATGTTATCTACCAAAACTGCCAGGAGTCAATAACAATAATTAGAGAGTACTTACGAGACATTCAGGTAGCCTGGAAGTTCATCTGTTTTTTCCCAGCAGATGAGATCAATGCAGTACTTTAAAACAACATCACAGACAGCACTTCCTCGAACCAGCAAATCTCCAGGTAATTTACTCACTGGGTCCTGAATATGAGTGAAACAAGGCACCACAAAACTGTTACCTTAACTCTGAGACTTCACTCTAATCAATGGCTAATTTGTATGTGTAATCAAATGGTGATGAGTGAAATAATAAATTATTACAAATTCCCTAATTTCACGAGTATACCAATTGATTACCTATTCATATCATGGGTAACAAATTACGCTAGCAATCAAGGATTTTTGACGTTTTTATCCTGGATCCTATCAATCGAGAACTCCACTCTCTCAAACATTCAGAGCTTAAAGTTGGCTTAAATTCAGAATTTTCAGAATTTTTCCACAAAATACCTGTTAGAATCCTTCTTGATGTGCTCTTTAATGTGTTTAGGTTTTCTAAAGCGTCTTTTAATACCGTGACATCTTCATTCATGACATTTTAAAACTTCGTCACCATCCGCTTGGCACTGAGACGTACAGAAGGTTGCCAAGGCAATTTTGTAAATTCACATGTGAAATTAATTAATGCTGAAATTTTGCGTGAAAATGATATTAGGCATTTTTACACTTTTGAACTTCGAAAGACTCTAGTGTGCTATACACCATGTATACCAACTGACATGGCTGTTTACATATAGTGATAAATCCTCAAAAACGGTGAACAACTTGGAAAAGCAAAGAGATGGAGAAGAAAGGTGTCCAGCATTCTAGGAGAGATCCTGTATTATTGTAAATGAATTACACATATGCTGTACCTCATCCATGTCCTCATCTTGTCCTTGCTGATGGACTTCACAAGCATGGCCATCTTTCCAAGCCTCTACATCACCACAATCGCATACTCCACCCCCCTGAGATGTATTCATCTGCAAAATGAACAATTAAAGAATACTACAGAAACCTCTTCAGTTTTTCTTAGAGCACAACCTTGACTATTAATCACACATGTCATTAACCACATGTATATGTGGCGAGTGTAACCCTCAGTAAGACTGCTGCTGCTGGTGATTCTGATAATAACTTACACACTCGGACAATCCTTTTATTTCAACTAATTATACCATGACTCTTTGGTTCAAGCCGTTTACAATATCCGGATAATCTAAACATTAGTTTTAATTCATTATTGATAGTGTATAAAGTCAGATGTCAATCAATCAATCAAAGTCTTTATTTTAAAACGATAGTTTTCAAAGATGAAAAGCTTGTGGGGTCGCTTATCCTAGGTACTAACATGCTAATGTCTTGTGGAAATTTACAGTATTACCGGCAGTCCAAAACAAAGGTATTCAAGATAAGAAACAACCAAAACCTTAGATAAATACAAGTGGGTAAAATTAGCTAAACTTCAGGCAAATTACAATATTCAGAGGGTTCAAAATGTAGATTTTTATATATAAATAAAATCTATAGATCTGAACGCACGGGTGGACACAGATGTTACTTAAAAGTAAAATTGTTACCAGTAGCAACGCTGAAGTAAGATTGTCACTTTAAAAGTAAAATTGTACCTTGTAATGATGATTTTTATGAATGCTTTTTTGGAAGCAGTCAATACAAAGAACACAGGTATTGTCATAACCACACTCCCTGCAAAAAAAAAAATTCAAAACAAAACAAAACAAAAATTAATTGGTCAAAGCTGGAGCATAAAGGATCATGTTTGTTAATGAGCTGCCGTGATAAATATACAGTGGAATCTTGATTTCTTAAACTTTCTGGGAAAAAGGAAATTGGTTCAGATCATTGACAGGTTCAAAAAATCAGGGGTAATTAAGTGAAGGGAAGTCAGTTATGGCTTGAATTATCAGAAGTTTCAGGAAACTGAGGGTTCGAGAAATACAGATTCTCCTTTATGCACATTTTCTACCTACGTGTAGGGGTAGGTAACCATGTTTGCCACGGGACAAAGAAAGTCATTTTCACAGCTTGCCATTCGGGCAAGCTGAAGCTAGCATGTACTAGCCAAAACATCATTTCAAGTAGCCCCAAAAACTTTTTGATGAGCAGAATTGATTTTACAGTTCTTCTGTCAGTTGAATTCCTCAAAAAACATCACTTGCCCGTCAGGCAAGATAAGAACAGAATTCACTAGCCCGATAGCAAAATCCACTAGCCCCAGGCTATAGGACACTACTTTCTATGCACATAATAGACAGCCACTATTTCCTAGATGAGGTAATGGCATTACCGTTCTACCCGGTAGCATAGCTGTTTTTTCTTTTTTTTTTTTTTTAACGGATACACGTACAGGTAATTTACCCATACCCATACACAGAAACAGTGTATCTTAAAGTCTCTATTACTACATGTATGGCTCCCATATCATGTACAGATGTCAACTTCACATTAGAATGTTGAAAATTAAATAAGCGCCGCGGCATTCTTTTGAGATAGGCCAGTAACTAAAATGAAGGAAGAGAGATAAAGAACATGTATATTTTTTTTGGTTTCTTTTTACTTCCCTATGCACTGTTATTAGTGTATTTGGCTGTCTATTGTTGTTGTATTGTACAATGTATATTATGTAAGATTGTTTATTATCATTCAAAGCAAATTTTTCTTTCTTTTCATTGGCCGAGAGCCCACCACGTGACCTGTAAATAACTGCCTACAAATAATGGTCTGCTCATGCGCAATGCTGTCTAGCTGTGTTTGGCTTTACGTGTTTGGCTGCAAATAATATTCTGCACATGCGTAACGGAAATCGTGCTTTTCTCCTTCTTGTGATCGCTCTTGCGTGAAAATGGCAGATCGCTTTGCTTACCGAGGATATTCATTAAACAACAAACTCGGTGATCGAATGATAAAACAATTATTGAACTCCGTTACTGCAAAATATTGTGATTTGTCAGTGTCTCGCAGATCAATTATTCAATAATTGATCTGCTTGCACAGACAAATCATGATATTTTGCTCAACCTCGTCCAATAATTGTTAATTATTTTCATCTAAAGGTACTAATTAGTTGACAAAAAAAAAAAAACAACCGCAGCATATACAACATAAATCGTAACTATCTCTCATCTTGGAAGTCATACTGACTTTATATTTCAATTCTAATGACGTAACAAAAGTAAAATTTAGCTTATACAACCTAATTTAGCCTAAAAGTTCAAGCTTACTTTCCTTTCGTAATTAAGCTTAACAAACCTGTGAGTCGTTTTGGCATTTTCTACGATAGTCCAGTTATTAACCTAACCTTCGACTAATACGAATTGAAGTCACTAACCTGCAGGAATAAGTTGGTTCTCCATTTTTAAAGACCTTTCCACATAACTGAGATGGTGAGTTGGCACTTTGCAGTTTTTGAAGACCAATGATAGGATCTTCGCCGCAGATATAGTACTCTAGAGGCAAGAAAATCATCCTCTGACATTTCTGTTCGTTGATAAGAGCTTTCGAATTGGGTACTGAATGCATTTCGAAGCATTTAAACACATTTTCCGAAAGATGGTTCATAAAAATGCTTCTGAAGTCCTTCGCAGACTTCCCTCGCTTCAACCATGTTTTTCCAAGTTCAGAGAAGTCTGATTCGGGACTTGGAGGGTTTCCCTTCATCTTGAGAAACTCCTTGTCTACTATTTTGACCCCAGGAAACTTTCAACTGCCAGTGTCTTTCGAAATGAGGAATTCAATGGCCGAACACTGGGCCTATTTCTGTGGAAAACATGGCCGTTATTCCCCGACTGGCAAGGTAGTTACGTCATGTATGGCAAACAAAATAAACCGAATTTTTTTCTGCGACACCTGTGAAAATCTGAAAGCTGACCTGGAAGAATTGGATGAAACTCAAACACAAAAAAAATGATGATTTAAAAGAGAAAGCGATTGAAACTGAAATAATTGTTAGAGTGTTTCAGGAAAATGACGGGTTCATTTTTATAAGTAAGACTGAAGACGACAGACCATTCAACCAAACTTTCCGGCTTCAAAACTCAATGGATCGGTTCGGTCCAACCGGGACACCATGGCAACCAGTTGAATTTTGGTTGAATGGATCGCGCCCTTGAGGTCTCGTTTAAAATGTTAAGACCCCGGGGGGTACTCTCTTATATATGTCCGTCGGGGTATTTGCCGCCCCAAAGGGTAGGGATTTTGCGGCGTTTCGGTGTGAAAACGGGTATAGGCTTTGCCTATTTTGGTCTGGAATCGGGTATGGTTTTCGACGAAACTACGGGAGTGTATGAACGTATTTATCATTTCAGTTCCAAATGACTACGGAAGAAAAAAAAATATGCAAATTCGAAATGAATTTTAAGAAATCTTTTTTGTCGCTGTTTTAATCTAAATAATGATGACGTTATTTCTTAGAGGCCAGGTCTGAAAACGGGTGTGAATAATGACATTTTTTTTGTCTGAATAGACATTTTTTTTTTTCCGAAATCGTCGAGATCGAGCGCTCTGCGTTACGGGTTTCTGTCATGAGTGTCAAAACTAAGGGGCGGCGGTTTGGGAGGAAGCGAGAATTTTTCTCGCCACCCCCCCCTTCACCTAGAGCTATAATCCCCGACGCCCGCCCCCTCGGTACATTTGAAAATCAAGATAGCCGTGGCGATAAGACGCGGTATACCTAAACGATCTCACGAAAAAATAGGGGACTGTGAACAGTCTAGAAATAGGGTCAGAATTTAGAGCACCAAGCGGCACACGCCCATGTAGAATTCCCAGGAGTACCCTCCCGGGGCTAAAACTAATAAGGGGCCGTCGACATACGGTGTAACCTCGCCCTACGGCCACCTTGTCATTACGGCTACTCTTTTTTTTCTGCCTGGCAAAACGGCCATACATTTTCTTATAAAAAAAACCGCAAATGCGGTCACCCGTTAATACGGTCAACGGCCAAATTTTAAAATTCCACACAGTAGACCCTTATAATTCCACCCCGTTAATACGGCCACTCGTTTGAAATTTAGAAAATTAAAATGCCTGTGACATGTCGATATCATTGACCCAGTAACCTGAGCCTGTTCTTGTATTGTTTTTAGACTACAGTAGGCTTAAAAGGCATTTATGGTTGTTCAATAGCCGTTTTTCTTCCAGCTTTTGAACAACTGAGGCCTGCTTGTTAAGGATCCTTTAAAATAGCAGCTTGAAACCATAATCTCAGTAGCTGTTGCAGATAACGCAGGGAATGTCAGTCTAGGAGGCACATCGGCATGTACCTCCGGACAGGACAAATGAGGAAACCCCGAGGATTACACTCATACAAGAGCCGACTCAAGGGATAACATCTTTATTGCCGGTTTAAAATATCAGTACATTTGAGCACGAAACAAAAAACTGAACGGCCAACGAAGCGCAGATTATACGTCTTCACTTGCATAATAAGCTTCAATTTTGGCCTCGTGCAAGTCAGTAAGCATATCAGTTTGAGTCTCGAGTTTTTTTCGGACTATGTTCGCGTTTTTTCCAGGCTTTTCATGCACCTTTGCTGAGTGCAATTGAGAGAACAGGCTCAACCTTCTGTCTTTTTCCTTTCCTGTTGTAGATGCACCCTGCTGCTGGCTTCGATCCTGGCTCGAATCACCCCCAAGGGCATCTTTATATTTGTCCCCTTGACTCTTCTTTAATCTTTTTCGTTTCGCGCTGACGGTAAAGACAAGAATCGCAGATGAGACTTCACTCACTCGAAAACAAGTTTGCATGGTCCACCATGGCCAGGCCCCCACAAATTGCACATCCGAGTAAACTCCAAATACTCCAGCGCTAGAATAGATGAACATGATACACAAAACAAAGTTGTTGACCCCTGACGCGTAGATGAGATAAATGTAGAATTTATCTTTTTTACTTTTGACTTCTTTATTTGCGAAGAACTTTTTATCTAGTTTGTAAGCAAGGATGAAGTAACCAATACCGAGTACAGTTCCCCAGAGAATGAAAAACACTTGGCAAAATACAAGCATGGCCTTTGCTTCGACAAACGCTGAAACGACAAAGTCTGTTATCAGTACCAGAGCGAAGTGAAGTAGGATTATTTTAATAATGGTGCTAAACTTTTGCATTCTTTGGGGTCCGAGGGAAATTTTCGCTGTTTCCACTAGAGAGAGTATGACGAGATAGTCCGCTGATGTGAGACAAGGGCTTGCCAATGACCATATTACGCGCATGACATGTACGTTGTTTATCATGGTTCCTTGAAGATAGGGGTCTGTAAAGAGCACAAATGCACGAGTGGCGCCCAAAATGAACATCACAATGTTCAAACTGAAACCCAGATATTTTTGATCGAGTCCCGCGTAGAGTCCATGCCCGATGAAGTATGATGAATAAACCGCAAACCCGAGAAATATGACAGCGAATACGTAGACGTGCATCTCCCAAGCCATCCCCCATTCTTCGTACGCTTTTGGCCAGAAAGGACCGGGCTCGGGCCAGTCCTCGGCCGAGGCCTCTGGTTCAGATCCGGGTTCTTCTGATGGAATCTCACGCTCAGCCTCGGGACCGCCCTCGGGTTCAGCCTCGGATAATGGTAGAGCAAAAGGATTGGACACCCAGACGGTTGAAGTCTCTGATCTGTTTTCTAAGTCATTCAAAGGCACGTTTTTATCAAACTTCTGATTACTCAGACTTTTTGCACGAGTATAAAACGTGGTATTTAATGCTGAAAACGAATTATTGCCCTCCACACAAATGAATATAGCTGTCACCAACAGAACCTGAAAATTAAATATATACACAAATACTGTTAAGGCTTGTTTGTTTAATTCAAGAGCATCATAGGGTTGTTTGCAAAGTACAATCGAACCGCCAGGGGCACCCAACGGGAAATTTTGAGAAAAAGACCTAGAAACAACAACAAAGCGTGAATAAAGTTTTCTGAGACTATTTTAAGCATTTTGGGAGATTGCTGGAAAAAAATTATCTGTTCCTCACTCCCAGCAAGACTGATGGAAGAGTTCCCAGCCAGCAAACTTACAACCTGCAACCTGACTTACTGGGAAGTTTCATAGGGCACCTGAACCGCTCTACAACGGCCACCTTGGGGTCAGAAGAAAGTGGGCGTTGTAGAGAGGTGGCCGTTACGTGAAGAGATAGGGGTGTCATAAGGCAAATTCTTTTTAGGGAGTACAACATGTTTATTTTGCTACGTTCTTGCTTACTGTATCCCATAATGTTTCAATAATAAATGATTTACACAGAGATAAAGTACACAAAAAATTAAATGATGTTTTGAATCAAAATGTTGATGCGACAAAACGAACCAGTATTGTAGACAATTTATTTTTACCGCAGCAGTATAAATATAACAAGATGAAAATACAATGCCACGATTGATCATTAACGCGCCTTACGGATGTAATTTCGAGACCATTCCTGACTTTTTCATCAGTCGCTGAAAAAACTGGCCGTTTTCGAGAGGTTATTTTGGCAGTCGGAGACACGCTTTAGTGGCTGTTGCCGGGCGTTGAAGAGAGGTTTAAAAAGAGTCAATATAGGGACTGTCCTGCTGGACAAAAAAAGTGGCCGTTGTAGGTAGAGAGGATCCTGTTTATAGAGGTTCGACTGTAATCACGCTTGTCTACCACATTACTCGCAAACACTCAAATAAATCGATCAGACATTGAAGATATGTTTTTTTTTCTATCTATTCTTTCCATATCTTTCTATTGAAAAACAAACAGTATTTGGAAGCTCGTGCGACAAATTCACCGGTAGTTATATGATTTTACCCCTGAGTGGTTGAAAAAGAGGCACGAGACCTTTTAGCCAATCTCAAAACGTGGAAAATCTCGATGTAATCACTGGACGGAATTACTTTAAGTTGCAACAATCTAGTAAAACAATCAGAGATCCAGATAATCACACGAAGCTGGAGTGAAATTTCCAACGATAGAGAGCTTCAGATTCAAGGAAGAAAGCTTCATTGCGAAGGAGGTAAACGGCCCTCTCCGATTGCAAAATGATAAAATTCCTAACAGTTGATGATAACTTGTTTTCACCACTACGACATTCTCGCTAAAATCCGTAGTAGAATGACGGCGGCTACCACGTTTTCCCGCCAAAATGACGCTGGCTCACGCGCCGGGTGCACCCCTGTAATAGTATTGAGAAATTAAAATCTCGTACTCGTGGTCGTTCTCGTCTTAGAATCTAAAGCTCTCTAATTTCAAAAGGCGTTAGGCAATTCAAAACGTACCAAGGCAAATGTTACTTCAAAACATCAAACAAAAAAACTAACCTGGTACAGTGAAACCCCCTTTACGGACACTCGCTTAAAACGGATACCTCTTTATTACGGACACTTTGCTTTCTCCCTGGCGAAAAAAAGCCCTTCTATTTTCTTTAAATTCAACCCGGGACCCCCCGTTTATACGGATGGTGTTCCCTAGCGACGGAGTCGGAGTCGGAGTCGTAAGCGGAGTCATAAGCGTGACGGAATCGGAGTCAGAAGAATCAGAACGTTTCCATTTCTTCCGACTCCGCTTACGACTCCGTCGCTTACGTTCGCTTCTGATCTAGCGAAAACCAGATTGTCGGAGTCGGAAGCAGCAGCGGAAGGATAAAATAATCACAATGCACGTTCCCCGCTTTGTGATTGGTTTAGTTCTTCGAATCCGCTTTTGCTTCCTACTCGTAAGCGGAAACCAAACGCTGCTTTCGCTCCATTGCAAAATGCAAGCAAGAATGAGAATTTTGCTTTACGCATCACCTGCGGCTTCTGGTGTCGTTTCCACGTACGAAGGGTTGAGGTCATGTACAGTTCAGTAAGGAATCATTCCACAGTGTAGAATTTTACGTGTAACAAATCTAACCTTATAGCCAGTCCTATTTGTATGTTTTTCATCCTTCATAGTTTGAATTGGACATCTCGTTCTTCTACGGCTTTGGATTCAGCAGAGGAGGCATTAGAATTTTACAATTCATGACGTCATAGTACATTAAAGTCTTCAATTATCATGACATTACGCTATGATGTAACGTATTCCACTTCAGCGAGCTAAAAAATGCTAACTCAATTTATTGCCTAGACTTGCCTACAAGTCCGGCTCAAATGTTTTCACGAGCGCGAAGCAACTATTACTCTCAATCTAAAACCCCCTTCAGTTCTGTGGCTTTCCCACAAAGGCGTAGAAGCATAAACAGGTCACTCTTGAGTAAATTGTTATTCAGTTTATGGTGGCGCGCTCTTTGGAACAACAATTACCTAAATGAGCGCACAAATAAAGAATTTCATTAAGGACGTTATCGCGGGGTAGATATAGGAATATTTTCGTGGGTAAATCACGCAGCGATAAATTTCGATTTTTTTAACGAGATGGTACAGGTGTCGCCAACGATACTTGTCCAGAACGTAGGTGAGACTGGCGTGGAAATAGCAGCCTTGCAAGCCGGGCTCTCTCCTACCCATAAGTAAGAGAAAACTCTGGTAACGAGATTGGTAAAATAGCTCTTCCCTCATGTAGTTATTTCTATTTTATTTCTTTTTCCATGCCTAATTAGCCAACATCTTAGAGCCAAAGGATAAACGGGCGCTAGCCTATCAAGAATGGAAGATCAGAGTAGTCATTCGATGAGAATGTGTCACTCGCGGCTTATAATTACTTGTCAAAAAGAAACTTTTCTAGTGAATTAAAAGAGTAATGGCAGAATTGAACGGGGGAAAAGATAATGTTAGCTTGGAAGTAATTTGCTTAGCTCAGATTCCGAGTCCATGAGATACTGAAGTAAAAAGCGTAGTCTTGGTTATTCAGGTTTGAGCCCATTTCTCTACAGGGGCGAAACCTTGCAAGTGGAAATTTTCCTCTGTGATTTGTTTCTATTTTTTGAGTGGCGTTTAGTATCTTTTTCAGATTCTATATCTTCAGACAAATCATCATCTGCTGAGTACTTCCTTTGCAAGCTGATTTTTCGCTTTTGCTCATGAAGAGCAGTAAACATGCTCTCTCGCCTCACGTCAAGGATTTCAAGTCCTGGACGATCTGCCTCTTTGGGTTTATCGCCGACTTTCTGATCAGTTGAGGTATAATCTGGGGTCCCAGGAATAGGCGTACGAGTACTGGTGGTCGTGGTCTCACTCCAGCATTCTCTACTAATTCGTGGTATCGAGTCTGGAACGGGCCCGACGTGTTGAAACGGACCGAAAGCTATTCCTCTGAGAGCAGTGTACAAGCTAACGACGCTACCCATGTCTGTAGAAGATGCCCTTTTACGTTTAAAGCAGTCTGTCCATCTTCTCGACTTCGATTTCGAGGAAGTTCTCGCCTCCATTGAATCAAAATCTTTATTATCTGTTACCATAGCTACGGCCCGCTTTACTCGTGTACGTTTCGCGCTCACCGTGAATATGAGCACGCACGCTAAGATTTCACTAAAACGCGAAAGGGTCTGAAACGTCCACCATGGCCAAGCGTCCACGTATTCTACATCTGAATAAACACCAAAAACGCCAAACGCCGAATAAATTACGATCCCACACAAGAAGTAGTTTGCAGCACCAGAGGCGTAAATAAGATAGATGTAAATTTTGTCCTCTTTCTCTTTTGGTTTTTTATGGCTGAAGAGTTTTTTGTCAAGTTTATATCCCAGAATGAAATTTACTGTTCCCAAAACGCTGCCCCACGTAGCAAAAAACAACTGACAAAATAATAGCATCGCTTTAGCCTCCACGTGATCTGAGACCACACAGTCAGTGGTTATTACAAGGGCAAAATGAAAACAAATGATGGCCACGTTCACCCATGCTTTCTGCAGTTTCGGTGGAGCGATGGAAATTTTCGCGGTCTCAATCAAGGCCAAAATCATCATACAATCAGACGCGGTCAGACATGGCCCAGATAAGGACCAAATAACACGCATCACCACGGTCTTATGAATAATGCTCCCCTGATGGTATGGGTCCAAGAACATGACAAAGGCCCTGGAGTACCCAAAAAAGGCCACCAAGATGTTTAGGCTCACGCTCAGGTACTTTCCTTGGAGACCATCATAAACATTGGCGATGACGTAATAGTTTGCGTACAAACCAATGGTCAGAAATATTGTTGCGTAGAGATAAACATGTAGTTCCCAGGCCCATTCCCAAGTCTTGTATGCCAAGTTCCAGCGAGGACCGGGCTCGGGCCAGTTTTCTGCCGTTGGTTCGCTTATGGCTGTGGAGTTTAAGGTTCTTTCAGCGTTGGGCTCTGTATAAGCGTGACCTTGATTTCCGGTGGATTCTCCTTCCGGTTCAGACTCAGGTTCGGCCCTAGGCTTCCTCGGCGCACGATTAGTCAAAAGTTGCACATCTAAAATTAGAAAAAGAACACATTTTAAAACAGTAAGTTAGGCTTAAAATCCCTTTTTTCCTTTTTAACACCCTGTTAAAAATTTGTTGATCGAAAACAAATCAAGCCGACAAACAGCTGCCTACTTCGTCTAACGCCACTCCAAACTTCAACAGTTTGGCGGCAAAACATGACATGTTTTCACCCAATTAGAACATGTTTTTTCGTCACGTGTACAAGCTTCGATGCAACCGACGGTAACTTATACAGATGTTGATATTTACTTTAACTCTTGAACTAAATAACCGTCAAATAAACGTCTATAAAGCTCTAAAATTTAACCGCCAACTGTCAAAATTGAAAAAAATTGACCGTCAATCGTCAAAGCTACATCCCCATTTATACTCTCTTTCATGCATCTTCCGATATCAATCTTACACCCAGCCTAGGATCAATACTCAGATACGTCGCATGAAATGTCATCAGCAGTAGTAACTGCCCGACGGTGCGGGAAACGCAAACCACCTTCAATGCGGCGTAGTTTATGACGGTTAACTTTCTATTTGACTTTATATTTGGAGCACATACCTTGTCCCGTCAAAGAAAACAAAGCTTCGTTTTTTAAATGCTTTCTTGATATTAACAGCTGCTTTCCCTGAGGTCTGGAATACAGCCCGGATAATAGAAACAGAATCTAAAAAATAACCAAAACAACGCTTAATATAATCAATTTATATTTATTTTCCTGTAAAATTGTTAAAAAGCAAACGACTTCGTTGTGAATTCGCCATCGCTCTTTCTGGTGCAGCTAAACATACCACCAAAAAACCATTTATTAAAAAAAATTATCGAAGTCTCCTTGGCTAAAAGTCGTTTTACATGGATGAATTTTAGTGCAAGTTTAGGAGCCATTTCAAATTGCAAGCGTAATTAAGCTAGCGGTGTTTTTGTGATTGGTCGCTGCTAGAAGGTTGCTGTTCCGAACTTGCTCGAAATTTTTATAGGATTTATTGGCCCATTTTTGAGCTAGAGTAAGCAAAACCTATATTGGGTCTATCTCTCTTGTTTAATAAGTGTTTACATCAGATGAGCCCTGTGGTTACGACGGAGTTTAAAAGATTGGAAAATCGCCATAAAATCGCCCGCGGAATTGCAGCAGAAGTCACACTTAAGGATGCCTCGCGCCAAAAATTTGCATTTTACTTTTTCCTATGTACCAATTTACTAACTGTGTTTCTTGAAAATTTAATTTCCCTTAGCTAATGAGCAATTTATCATGAATATGCAATTACATGATATTTGCCATGCGATTTGCAATAAAAACTGTAATTGTCATCGTAACTGTATCACTGTAACTTGTTTTTTTAAAGACCACAAATTTCACGCGTCCTATGCGCCCATGCAATTTTGTGGGACAATATCCACACGATTCCCTTGTGTTAAAGTTCATACTTGACCCCGAGGCTTGGGGGAATACACTGTAAAACAAAAGAAATATATTATTCATTATTAAGCCTCAAGATGATTTCTTTTATTTTATTCCCTCAAGCCCCGCAGCCAAGTATGAATTTTAATATATCGGAATTGTTCTATAAAATAATTCGTTTACGTTTATTTCCATGCACTATAGGTTCTTAAATACCATAAATATTATACTAGTCCCGTAAATATATGAGTCATCAGCCTTTGCCAATTTCTTTGGCGCCTTATTAGTTGTTTATTGTGCATTATAACGAGGTGATTTTTCATTTTTCGTATCTGAATGAAGCCCCTAAATGAAACTTTTAACATCGAAGGAAGTCTTCAATTGTCGAGAAAGGACTTTTAAAACGCTTCCTCTTAACAACCGTCTCGATTCAGTTAAAATTCGGTAATCGTTGAACAATGGCAATCGCCTACTGAGCTTTTAAACAGGGCATTTTAAGAAACCAGACTGTTAGCATCATGGTAACCTCTCATGTAATATATTATCCAAACTCAGTGTTAAAATTCGTTTTTATATTTTTTTTTCGGTTTTTGCTTTACCCATTTCGCGTTTACTCCTTCCAAGGGGGACGATATTCCGGATACACCACAATTGCAACAAAAGTAAAAAATAGTGGTAGAATAAAAATGCATTAATATTTTATTATATTCTGTCTGAGTTCTTGCGTCATTGTTGTGGGTACAAGCCCACGCCTGAAGACGAGTGTGTCACGCATGGGGTGGGTAAACCTCATAACTCGAGCGGCAAATTCTTTTTGATGAGATCTCTTTGGTAGCTTAGACAAAACAAAAATAAAATAAAGCAAATTACTCAGAGAAACACTTGTCTAGTTATACTTTTTGAGCTGCTCTTCCAAGAAGAATTTGTAATGAGTCTTAAGTTTGACGGATTTACACTTGCTGGCCTGATCCTGTTGGCCCACGTAAAAGCCAGATTACGGACTACGACATCGACCGCCTCGATTTTCTTGAGCAACTGTTCCAAATGCGAAAAACGCCGAAATACGAATTGGCGGATTATAGAATCTGTTGAACAAATCTGCCCCAAATCGGGCGGACAAATCGAAGCTTGGCCTAACCAGGCTTGTAATACTTGGTGAAGAAACAGAAATGTTTGTCTTCCGAAAAAAAAGCCTTGTGACTATAAGACGTCTTATGGTCCTCTATTGCAATCAATTTGCAAAGCTTGGAGGAGCTTTTACAGGTTTTCCTCGCTCAACGGTTAGAAACGGAGTCCTTCAATGTTGCTGTTATTAACTTGCAAAACAATCATAGCTACCTCGAAACATTTATTTTCGTACAATTATCTAAACTTTTTTATTCTCCAAAAAATATCGCTATGAAAGCACAGCTCTAGTTTTACGTGACCAGATAGACATCTGGCAATGGTAATTACACCGAGCCGGTTCATAATGCAAGTCCGATATAATCAGTCAACACTTTTTGGGCAGCAAAGAACTATTATGATTATTAATGTCTTGTAAAATTGTCGCCTTCTTATTGCAAACGACTTCCTTTAGTTAGTTCTCTATGAACTGTTTTACGTCCCATATCGCGAAAATAAACATGTAGCCTGCAAAAATTTAGGGGTCGATTTTATTCCGGAGATTTGAAAACGACTCCAGTAAAACTGAGAAAATCGAGAAGTAAATAAACAGACGAAACAACAGTGAATAGAGTTTGTTACTGGACTACGATTGAATGTGCATCTTCAGTGTATAGATAACAAATGATTAAAGTGCAATGTAAAAACGAGAAACCTTACCATTACCACCACTGCCACCATTGTCACTAAAGTTATTTTGCGCTGCATTTCCAACGTCATTGCCAAAGTTTTCGTTGACAAGAACCTTGAAAAAGATAACATAAACCTTAAGCTGGGTCAAAACTGACTTGAACTAATGGACGTTATGACATATGAGGTGTTTGCACTTTTTAATTAAACTTAAAATGGCTGAATTTGAACTGAGTAAACTAGAATAAATGATCGCGAATGGCCAAAGATCGTAAATCCTCTTTAACGTTTGAGAAAATAGACTTACCAGAAATGTCGTATCGCGGCAAATGAAAGTTTTTAAAAGTGTATTAGATCGATTTGTAAGAAGGCACACGCTAGCACAGTTGGTAAGTTGCTGTTTAAGATTCTAATATGATGCATCTGTTTTTACTATGTAGAGCACCAGATAATTTACATAATCTGCGTTCACAAGGGCCTCTGAGAAATCTTAAGAAATGCAGTTTGAAGATAAGGCAAGCGATTTGGATTAATTTTGTTTGCAATCGTTGGTAAGCAGTTTCGTATAACACCACATATAATTTAACGAGATAGCCAAAAGCCGACAGAAAGTTTTCTTTCTTTTCAGCTAAGGAAGTCTTCTATCTCATGAATTTTAACAAGTTAATAAAAAAAGCTCACAAATGAAACTTAGACGTATGAAAACAATAGAGATGCCTTATTAAACTTTCGTATTCTTTTAAAACAATAGGATACATATCTATAGAACTTTTTTTATTCTTATCAAAGGCGACTATTGGATAGAAGTTATGTTGACGAACCAAAAAAGACCAGAACTTCTTATTTATTGTTTATTGTTCACTTTGCCTATTGATGAAATTGTCAAGCTTGTTCGAAAAAAAATAAAATTGAAGAGATGGAAAGACAGCGACAGCCCAAATAATTTATGATATCTAAGCCAGCTGCCACAAAATTATTACTGACATCGGTTCTACTGACAATGACGAATATTAGCGTGGGCCCTCTTCTTCATGAACTAAGAATGGCACTAACGAGAATAATTTTTTTTACAAAAATCTTGACATTTTCCCAAATTCTCGTATCCTTGCAGTTGCTTGAATTTGTCAAGTTTGACATATACACCGAATTGTTTTAACAGAGGTGGATACAAGCACTGCTATATAATTTTATACAATTCCTCCCCCCATGGTAGGTTGACTTCTCCATAAAACTTTCATTTTTTTTTTTGAAGGATGAAGGATTTTGAGGAATATTGTTTTCGCTTAGTTTAAACATTTTCTGTTTGGACTGCTATTCCCTCTTGTGCCGCAGTTGTTGCCAAATTTATATTACTCCCTTACTTTTCATAACTCTAGTTTTACTATTGGACACTCCGAAAGCGGTTCTGCAAATCAACTCGTTTATGAACGTATTTCAAAATAGAGTAGAGCTAATTTGAATAGGAACTAAGCACTCTTCCCAAATAAAGCGTCAGAAGGCCGACATCGGCGAGAAAGATCGATCCGTTAACAACCTTATTTAAGACATTAACATTAAAAACTTGACTAATGTGTTTAACTTACAGCGGCATTATTATCTAATAATCAAATGATGGATTCTATCAAGCGTCTCGTTTCTGTCTATTTAGTCATTTAGATTAAAAAAGGAAGGTTAAATGAATGTGCTAGAAGGCTTAAGAACCTAGGCGTTTCTGTGCATAAAACAGCTGAAGAAACGAGTTTGCATGCAAGAACAAAATCTTTGGCAGGCGAAATGTGGACCAGGATTTTCCCCACCCCACCCCGTCTGCCTCGCGGGGAACCCCATATGTGCGCCAGTTATTTCTCATAAAGGTTCCCTGTGTCTTCATTGCTTAGATATTAGCTTTCTCCAATAATTAACAGAATCCTATAGCCCTGGCTTAAAAAAATTGACAGGATATTAGCAGCAGAGCAACGAAAAAAGAAAAGATTACTTGTATATCTTCACGGGGGTAGGGTTAAGGTTTGCTTAAAAGAGAAATCATTCCCTTATATTGCTGGTGAAAGATATTCTTGACTATTAAATTTCGGATGGGCGAGTGCCAGTGGGACGTTGTAACCGCCGTCCATACCCGAAGACTAATTATGTTCAGCTGTACTGTGCCATTATATCAGACTGGACATCCAAAATCTCTACCATAACTCAAACTATATGAATAACTAGATACTCTATTTCTTCATACCCGTCTATTCAATAATTTCCTAAAAATAATATTCCAGATCAAAATTGTTGATTTCAATAACCTATTTCAGACTAAGCTGCTCTAAAACCATTTCCTTTAAGGTATCATATGACCGTGTAGCCCATAAATGTACCACTATACACCACCCCTAACCGCCAAACTCACCCACCCTGCCCTCCAGGTGTTATTTTGGTATCTAGACACAACTGAACGATTGTATTAGCTTGTTCTGCGATTGTTTTCTTTTTTATCGTGTATACGTGTAGTCATCGTGAGCATAAAGCGTATAATTTATATTATTCTCTCTTAGTTAATAAATCCAATCATTGAGAAAAACACAAGCAAATTCGCTGTCTAGTTCAGCCGTGTGACAAAAACGGAACGCTGGCTAACTTCACCTGATAGTCAACTTTTCTTCGTTCTATTTCAGAACTGAGTAGTGAAGCACGACCAACGACGTTGAACTCGGAACTCTAGCTCTAAAAGAAACGTTGTCGCGTGAACACGTGAAGAATTCCTTTTGTTTGACATAATTTCAGAGAAAACTCTTAAGGTAAACTTATGCATGAGGTTACGTAATTACAGAAATCAGTAAACTAGCTTGAGACACAGCACTTAGCGCGAGGTTATTATCTTTAAGATGGCCGACAAGAGTGGTGAAAATTTTTTCATAACACTATGTGGAATATGATTTGCGTTTGAGTTCTAATTTTGTTACTATTAGAAGTCAAGAGTACGGGAAAATATCCTAAAAAAAAAAGTTTACCATTTAAACCAAAACAATGCAGTATCTAGTTGACAAATTTCCGGCCACTTTCTCTTGTAAACACTTTAATGACTTTTTTAAAATTTCTTACCTGGGCAAGCAAATTTTCTGAATTTTCATTAAAGATAGCACGTCTATCAACCTTGAAGCTGCGTAAAGATTTGCTGTTTTCTTGATGTATTTTTGAAATTATGAGAGTTGTTACCACAGGATAAATTCATACCTCATTTTATGGCCACCTGATTCATATTCCGGCCATGAATTGTAAACATCTTTTCCTTGAGAGCGCCGTGTTAAAAATCACTTTGACACCCGTGATGACTTTTATATTACAATTAAAGCATTTGCGCAGAAAAAGCACATAGTTTTGAAAACTCGTGAAACATCGAACGAAATTAGTATGAAAAAGTAAAGGGCTGTCGGATTAACGGAAGCGAATGTACCCGATGGCGGGAAATAAAATTATACAAAGGCGATTACTGATTAAGCCATATTTATTCCTTAAGTTTTCATTTCACATCTCTGTTTTCCCATGAATTTCGTGATTTAGACTATTTGTTACAATTAATAAGTAACCTTAGTGACAACAGGCCCTTCACAATAACAGTTTTTAATGGTGTTATTGTAATTTATCAGGATAAATAGAGATATTTATTGTATATTTTTTTATATTCTATTTAACTAATTCATTTCCACAACACTTGTTTTGGAACTTTATGAAAAAGATTCAGAGATCCTTTGTAGCCTAGTCGAAATTGTCGCTAATATTTTGACTGCTGAAGCTCGAAAATTAGTTAATTCCAGCAGGTGGTTACAGCTTCCCTGATCAATATCATATTTTATTTACAATCTCTAAAAAACTCACGGGGTTTCTCATGATATTACCATCATATGAGCTCTTTGATTAAACCCATAAACCTGGTGCGTATTGAAACATTCAGACATTTGGAGCCAAAATGTCACTCGCTTTTAATAAAACTCGCTGAAAACTATTTATGTCTGGTATTGTTTACCTTTCAAACCGACCAAAAACCTCAAGTTTTAGATGGAGTGGATTTATGAAAACCTGGAAAGTCCCACGAGAAATCGGCCGGAAACTGGACAACATATTATGCAACGTAGTGTATCTAAGGTAGTGTTTTAATACTCAACAGGATCTTTTCAAGAGACTTGAAAGTTAGGGGCACCCTGCAAAGCGTTATAAACAATTCCTCAGGAAATCAAAACTTTTACTGAAAAAATAAAATCTGTGGAGAAAAAAAATCTAGACTTGAGCTCAGTAACTTGTGATTTGGAATATAGTTTTTGATTTTCAGGTAATTAAATATTTATACGCAGTACAGAGGATAAGGTATACGAATTGTCTGAATTTGATTTAGAAAAAAAAATTATGGACAGCCTTTACGAAGTTTAGAGTAAAATTGATCCAGAAAGACAATCGAGATGTGATCGTCGGAATACATAATTGTTTAGACACGATAAATAACGCTTCAAGCCATGTGAGTCCGTGTCCGACATTGTTGGATTTATTTATTTATTTATTGAAGTTTTACTCAACTCGTACTAAATCGGGCGCGCTGTAGAGATTTTCTACGCTAACCATGGGACTTTGAACGATAAGCTGTGTTTTTGCAGGATACTAGAGAGAAAAGGCAGTAAAAGGTTGCCCAGGAGCCCTGTTCAGGCTACCAGTTTTCGTCAACTAATTCCACTTTCTCACTACCACATACATTCACTCGTTTGCATGTCTTAACTATAGAACCAATACCTCAGTCCAGGTAATCGAGAACTGCGGTCTAGATTCTTTGATTGCAGACACTAGTTATGTAAACCCGTATAAAAATAGATACACCGTTTCTTGCGATCTGTGATTTGATTATGAAGCAGTTTGAACATCAAGCGCTGATATTTTTCTTCACACCAGCGTAACATGTAACAGCTACCTTCTATTTACTCAAAAATGGAGCGATCTTACCTTTTAAAGCCTTTCACGTCTTTTTGTTCAGTGTATCTGTTGAACGCAGCTTCACACTTTCAGATCCAATTTTGCAGAACAAAGTCTGACAAGTGCCTCCTCTGTTAATTGGAGACCTAGTGACTTCAAAGTATTCTTAACAATAGGATGATCCAAAGCTTTATGCTCACATTTATTTTAATGGTCTGGCTGGACAAACACTCATATTCCTTACAGCGTCAGCCAATCAATAAGCATTGTCTTTGCCTTTCTGTTTTTCGTTAATGGAGGGTCAAGATTATAGTATTCATTTTGAAAGCGTGACAATAACAAGACTTGGGCAAATGTGATTCACAGTCTTCACTAAGAAATATTTTCGACATGTAACGCTCCTTATAAACTAAACTTTTGGCAAAAAAAGTCTTGCTTTATGGCTAATTGCACACGTCAATTCGTTAATTGCGTGTGCTTAAATGCTTTATGCTTTTTGGTTGAAAACAATGCCATTGTAATTGGAATTTTGATCCTCTTGTCATTAGTTCGCCAAAAGATAATTAAGTGAAAAATAACATCGCATGCGTAGTTTCTGAAAATGTCAAAGTAAGAATTAGTTAAACCATCTTCTTCTCAATGTGTTGATATATTTTAAGTATTTATAAAGTGTTAATGAAGCGGTTTCTATCAGCCAATGTTCGTAAGGGATATTTCAAATACACATAGCTTTTATAAAACACTGTTGTGTTTTATTAAACCATGTTTTAAACCCCTCTTTTTACAACCTCGTTCCCAGAGCTTTTTCCGTAGAAAATGGAAGAGCTGCACCCGGAGACGAATCCCTTATAAGTCAGTGCTCGCTGCTTTACCTGTTTTTTCTGTTCACTTTAGGTTTTGTTTATACTTTTTCATTGGATTCTCTCAAACCTTATTTGTATTTGCCATTGTTTCTGCTAATTTGGCTAACTAAAGGATTTTAAGCAGGGACAACGACCACGATAGCGCCAAAAAAAGTCACCACGTGCAAGTGTGGTGATGCACGTGCAAGTCTGCACGTGCACCCACTTTTTGGTACATCTTTGTGCACGTGCCGTCACTGTACCTCCTCCCTCAGGCTTCCTCGTCATATTCCTTTCTTCCCTTGACAATCTCCTTCGCAATTTTTGTTTCTAAACAATAATCACTTTAGGAACTGAATAAACAAGAATATTTTTATTCTCATGTACAAATTCGAGTGGTCAGTAAACGTTCCAACACTCTTTTTGGTATTTAGAAGCTTTTTAAAGGTCTATGCCGCTTTACAAAATGAGATGCAGATAAATAGAAATAGTAATTGTAGAAAAACAAAGTGAGCTGTATCAGCAATTCAGAAGTTATTAACATTTTTTGTCCAAAAGGCAGCGCTCAAGGACGGTGCTCTTTCGAGTTAGTACGGCATTTGTGAGCCTTTTACTTCGAATAGGCCATCTCCGAGTTGCTCCGAGCATCTGTTTTAAAGTGAGGCTTAGTGGGAAGCCATTGGTATGCAAATGATGTTTAATAGGACAATTGCACGATGACGATATTTGACTACAACTACCAGAATTCATTTCGGTCTTACTTTGTTATTTAAATTTGTCAATCCCGCTGAGGATTAAAGAACAATAGCCTTAGGGACAGACCATTAGAAAACTTATTGGGGGTGGGGGGGGGGGGAAGTACAAAAAAAATATTCGCGCAAGGGAAAATTAAATGAAAAAAAATTTTGCACGCCAATTAATCCTAAAAAATATTCATGCTATGGCCTAAAATAAATTCATACAAGGAATTTGATATCTAAAAAAAATTCCTGCGGCTTGAAAATTCCCCCCCCCCATAACTTTTCTAATGATCCGTCCCTTAATTTGCACAAGACAACAAACTCAAGGATTCTGGTAGTTGTGGTAAAATGACGTCATCGTGCAATTGTCCTATTCTCATGCAATTAAAACTCATTATCCCAAAAAAGATATTGTGCTTAGCCTCGTTTTGAAAGTGAGGGTTCTTGGAACTCGGAAATAGTCCATTGAGACAGACGCTCGAACCAATAACACTGTTGTAGTTATTTCTGTTAAGCGGTAATTCTAAGCAGAGGTCCTCCGTTGCAGGCTCTTGTCTGCCCATTAGTCATGAGTACTTAACTGGAATAGAATTTGAGTCCTCAGAGTTGCCTTCACTTTCAATTGGCTCAGGCACTCTAACGGCATTCTTTTGCTTTTGCTGGCTTTCGCTTTCATTACTGGAAAGAAAACTTTGAACTAACTGACGAAGGCGTTCCGAACTCCGCTTCTTTAAAAAAGGAGGCCTTTTCATGGGTTCATTTTCTACGTCGAGGACAGATTCCTCTTTAATGTCTTCCATCTTTGCCGAACGACCTATTACTTTCTCGGGTTTTGTTTCTTGAAGCGTCGAGAACACGTTCATACGCCGGCCTCTCCGAGGCAAAGGAGGAGGCTCCTGGCTCGATTCCAAGTCTGGTTCATCTAAAGATTCACAAGCCACAGTGTTTGTATGGGCTTGAGCCAATGCATTGGCAAAGTTAGAGATTGCGTTGTTGATACTAGCTTCATGCATTGCAGAAAACAGGCTTTGTCTACGGCCTCTGGTCCGACTGGAAGGCACTATAGCTGGTGACTCTTCCAGCTTAGAAATTCTGTTCTCAATTGACGCTTCCTGCAAGTGAGAAAACAGGCTTTGCCTTCTCCCCCTTCCCCTTGCTTTAAATGCCTGAAATGAAGGGGGGAACTCATCACCTTCATCGCTAGGAGAGGCCCTGGTTGTAGGATTTGCCTTTTTAACTACTGAACTGACAGTTGTCTCAGCGGTAATATCACTACTATCGATCACTCTATTTCTTTTCCGCAATTTCACACAACACTGTTGTAGAGCTTGTAACAACCTAGAGCACGAAGAGGATTCAAATGCTTGGGACTGTGAATCAAATTCCGAGTAGATTTCATCCGCTGCCGACTTAACACGACTTCTCTTGGCGCTCACAGTGAAGATTAGAACGCAGGTAACGACCTCGCCTACGCGGAATAAAGTTTGTAGAGTCCACCAATGCCATGCGTCTACAAAGGTTATGTCCGTAAAAACACCAAATACACCCACCATAGTGTAGATCATAACACCGCAAATAAAGAAATTGGCTGCTGCAGAGGCGTAGATGAGGAAAATGTAAATCTTGTCCTCCTTAGCTTTCACTTGCTTGTGACTAAAAAGTTGCTTGTTCATTTTATATGCGAGGCGGGCGTAGCCAGCTCCAAGAGTTATGCCCCACACTGAGAAAAAAACTTGGCACATTAAAATCATGACTTTTGCTTCCATGTATGTAGACACTACTGTGTCGGAGACGATAACAAGAACGAAATGAATTGCGATGATTATCGAAATTGTCCTGAGCTTTTGGAATCTGGGTGGTGCTATAGATACTCTCGAGGTCTCTATCAGGGCCAATATTATCAGAGAGTCCGAAGCAGTCAAACAAGGTCCTCCAATGGACCACAAAAGACGCATTACAAATATAGCGCTTATCAAGTTGCCTTGGTGATAAGGATCCAAAAACATAACAAAGGCTCTGGTTATACCGAACAGAAAAACCATGGCGTTCAAGCACACACTGAGATGTTTGCCGCCCAAACCGTCGTAAATGTTTAACACGACGTAATATCCAGCATAAAAACCAATAAAGAGAAAAGCAGTCGCAAAAACATATACGTGAATATGCCAGGCCCATTTCCATTTTTTGAAGGCCTTTTTCCACTCAGGCCCAGGCTCGGGCCATGTTTCTGGTTCGGCTTGGGGCTCCGATGCCCCTTCTGATACTGTTTGGGGCTCTGTTGTTAGTTCTGACTCGGACTGCTGTTCATAAAGAGCCTCAGCTTGTGCTTGAGCTTTGCTGTCTTGTTTGAAATGAGGTGTATCTGTAGCAAGGCTCTCTTCCTCAAGTTGAAACTGGTTTTTGCCTTTGATAGATGCACTGTTTATTATGTATGTAGTTGTTTTAGAGGCACTTGGCGTCACAATTATTGCTGAACGCGTAACACTTAAAGCAACAGGCTCTGAAAAAGAAATAAATCAGATTTAGTAGGCTCTAAGGACGAGGAAATTAACTTCACCTCTTATTGACTCGCAAAATGGGGTGAGTTTTTCCAACCAACCATAACCGTAAAGGGTTAAGCATTTCTTAACTAAATGCAATCACAGGATTTCTTTTAACACCATTAACAACAATACAAAGACAAAATATAAGAAACTGAACATTTAAAGCCATCGAATCAGGGGTACGTAGATAGCTAACTTACGCTACCGGTCTTTCTATAGTATGCTGATAATTGCAAACAGGGGCGGATACAGAAAATCCAGAAAGGGGTGGCTGGGACACTTTTCCACTTGCCAGCTATATAGATACTTATTTTTCTCTGGGAATTCTATAAAAGAATACAGAATTTCAAACAACAAGGGGTAGCCGGGGCCCCCTCGGCCCACCCCTAAATCCCCCCTTGGCAAAAGAGCTGCTTGAGAGACCATCGTGATTGCCCTCTCCATAATGATTTCAATAACTTCTGGAATAGTTTAGATGGGCAATTAAGCATTTTCTGTAATACAATGACCGCGGAAAACAGCTTTCTGGTCCCGCAACTCATCGGGTCTTTTTTCCTCCCTCCAGTTAAAAACCGTCCCTTAACGAACGCTTGAGAACCCAAACGGAAACCCCTAAAACCCTATGAGTCGTTTCGCCAAAAGCTTGCATCTTTTCTTCCTGCAGTATATAATGGAGTTGGGAATTATAAATGATACGGCACGATGAAATTTTCAGGGCAAGTCTATAAGATCTGTGTCGCATATAAACATTAAACATTCTGATGACAGAAAAAAACCAGGAGATTTAAAATACCAATGACTAGGATTATCTACCTGTTACAAAAGCTGATTCTGTATAAGCCGACGCAATTCCTGTTCTTAAAAGTGTTGTAGAAGGTCGTATTTTTATTTCCCTCTTTATAATGTTATGCGGCTTGTAAGGCTTTGCAGCCGTTACGAGGTTTCGCAACGAAAAAATCACCTGCAAGAATACAAAAACAGAAGTGAATTAAAGGAAGCAACGATGAGGCGAGAAATCTAAAACAATTTCACTTTGTAATTATCGTCAATATCATCCGGTTTTTAATCCAACGGATTTTTACTGTAAAATCATGTTCAACAGTTGGAAGCAAAAGAAGCGAGGTTTCGAACCGTGCTTTGAATTTCTACAAGCATATAATTAAAAATTGTGTGAAAAACAGAGAAATCATTGTCTCAATAATAAGAAAAGAGTTGACGAATCAGACGGGCCTCGAATAATGCTGAACTGAAACCAATAAACACTGAATATATAACTTAATTGAAGAGATCCGTAACAGAATATGCTAAACAACGTAGAAGCGTTAAAACAGCAAAACCCCAATGCCAAATTGAAATAATTGAGCCACATGCATGATTGTTTATTTTTAATTTCGTACAAAAGCTAAAGTAAAAATTTTACCGGAGAAAAATTAAACAACAAGGCTCCAGGCTACCCGATTTCATTCTAACATGAAAGTTTTCGTTTAAATATCGAGAGACATTGAATTTTTTTTTCTGGGATAAGGGTGTATCTAATAACTCAGTGGCCAAAAGACAGCGGCTGTATTTTCGAATCGACCGGCAATTTTCCGTGGAGGTTAAGAATCAAGCCCAATTCGTTACATTAGCTTAGAGTACAAATTCATTTGTGTTCTATTCGAGATCAGCTCTAGACAGTACTTACCAAATAAATCCAGATTTGCATAGCTCTTTGCTAAATGAAAGCCAAGCCCCCGTTAAACGTTGCCTAGAACCAAAAAATAAACGAAAATTGATGAGACATTGCTAAGATGAAAGTTCCAAAAAAACGTCTTTTGATCAAAAATTAATATACAATGAACGTTGGTCGGAAAGTTTTTCTTAAATAGTTTTGGTTTCATAACATTTTTAAAAAAGAAAACGTCTCATCTTTGCTCTATATGTTTAGAGAAGAAATAATACCAGCGGGAACGATTTATCTAGTTAACGCCGGTAATAAAAAGTATGTATACATCCTGTTGCAGTAGTGAAAATAAATACATTGGCTATATATAATCCAGCAAAGAAAACTCCCTAACTTTGTTGTTATTTAAAAACCTCGTGAGAAAATACAAAATTTTCTTTTCTCTATTTTGTCGGCAAAGAGTAACATATAGGACATTTCTACTACACTACAGTTCAATGTCGGTAGATGAAAATACCTGTAACTAATAAATAGGTTTGAAAATGTGTCTTTCATCGAGAGATGCTCGAGGGAAATGTTCTTTTCGTGTCGAGGGTGTAGATGAGCGATTTCCAACCGAATGTTATGTCTTTTTGACAGTTTTAACCAAGATGTCGTCAGGTTTCAAGGACAACTGAAGATTTACAGGCGCAGAAAATGAGACAACCTTCTAATAACACTGGAAATCGCCTTCAACTGCTAGCCAATCAAATTAAACGAAGCTTTTGTCATATGCACTATCCTTTGGAAAGCAATTTGCAATCCCAGTTGTTTAAGAAGAGCCGAGTTGAACTTCCAGCTGAAAAAAATAGTATTCGTCGGCGGCGAGGATAATAAAGTAATACTTTTATCTGGAAATTAAAAGAAAAAAAGAGAATCCGCAGTTGATTATTTCTGGTGATTCATTTTTTCTTTGAAAAGTAGATTTCCAGTTGGACAGTAGGAAAATTAACATGAATTAACAGCTGCCGTTTCATAAAGGATGTGACAAATTTAAATCAGACAGATGTTAGGCAAGAAGAACAATTATTTTCAAAAAAATTTGTTTAGTGAACACTAATAAAAATATTGTTGAAAACACGAGTTTCGACGTGTCATGATATCAGTATTAGGATCGAAATACCCTGTTGGGATCAGTACCAAGAATCATGATTGGAGAAGCTTCTTTTGAGCGAACCCAACACATAAGTAATACCAAGGATTCGTTTCGATATAACAGCACTTGTGATTGGTGATAAATTCTGACCTAGGAGCAAGGCACGGATCTCGCGTGACGAATAGTTAACTTGGTAGCGATTTCGCAATGCGATCTATGCAGAACTGGCTACCAAACTTACCTTAAATAAATTACAAATTTACACAAGAAAATTTATCTATTTTTGTATGTGTCTGTAAATATTTGAACGTACCAGAATGCAATAAAATTAGAAGCTGATTAAACGGGTGCTTTTTTTAATCACTGAGTCTTTTTTTCTATGACAATTCTGTGCTTGTGCTTGCCAGGAGAGAACGCTGGAACCCGGGGTGCCCTAGTGGGCACTCATTCAATATCTGCAATAGCCTCGTCGTAACTACAATCCCAGACAAAAGTAGTCGGGAGGATTGTACAACTTAACAGTGGTCCATTTTAATCCCCAATCCTTTCGCTAATTATCCCCCGCCCCCCGACCGTATCAATGTTGGGATGTAACAAACATAAACGTTTTGCTCAACATTGGCCCAGGGGCGGGGGGGAAGAAGGGAAAATTAAAAAAAGAGGGGTAAAAAGTAGCATCCTTCCTAACACTTTTGACGATGATTGTAGCTTGCAGACACAGACGTATTTCAAGCGACAACCGGAGAATACGTCTTTGTCCCGCGCAGACTGGGTCTTAACTTTTAGAGGTAAAATAGACCCGTTCACGGTTTTGTTTCAACTTTTGGTACTGGCCCCAGTTGTTTAAAAGCTGGATAGCGCTACCCACCAGATAAATCACTATCCAGTTGATAAATACTAGGAGAGCCAATTGCATTATCCAGTGGATAGAGATTTATCCGGTGGATAGTGCTATCTACCTTTTAAACAACTGGAGCCTGAACGGTAAGCGAATATCTATTGACCATACTGTAAAGAAGGCCTGACCTCCTTACAAACTTGGCAGCTTCGCTGATTTTAAGGCGTTCTTTCCAGCCATGTTGACTTTTTTTCGCCAACTGCCTGGTCCCCCTCAAAAGTTACAAAAACCGTGCAAGGGTCTATTAATGGCCGTTAGGGAAAAGTAACTATTCCTGCTCAACCGATTCTAATATCAGGTAGTCTCAGACCTAAACTTAAGCTACGCCTAGGAAACGAGTTCCTAGTTCATTTTATGGATGTGTTGTTTTCGAAAAATTAGGGAGCTTAAGCAACGAATACAGCGACGGCATCGAGAACTGCAAAAAAGCAATGGGTTTAAATTAGCAAAACAACAACTTTGCACGTGCATCACGCTTTCTTGCACATTTCTTTGCCGTCTCTGCAAGGCTACTAACATAAAACTGCCCAAGGTCACTTCTTATCGAGGACGTGAACACACCTTTTCTTTCTTTTTCTGACCTTAAATAGAGTCCTTTAGAATTGAATTCCTGAAAAAATTGCCAGCATTTGGCGATTTTCAGCACCACAGGCATACCAGTGTGCTGCACGTGCAAAGTAGGTTTTGCTAATTAGACATATCCTGTGTTTTTTTTAACCGTTCTCCGGCGTTGCCTTCGCCGCTTAGCATTACACGAGTTTATATTTTTTTTGAACAAACTATAAATATGATCGAGAGCTTCGCTTTTAGTCCTGGCCAAATCTATATATTAGTAATTTCCCAACGAAGGTTATTTCAGTAAATTGTAAGCTTCAAATCATTGTTTAGTTTGCGATTTCAACTTCAAAGCAAATCTTGTTCGCGGAAGATGACGAAAGTTGCTTATAATCTGACCATCCATGACGTAACTCAGGGGACTAAGAATTTAATTAACTAATTTTTCACCATGTAGTGCTCGCTACGAAAAACGGAGACTTGCAACAAGGACGCGTTGTTTAATCAGCAAGTCAAACTGAACACTGACCGAATGCCTTTGCATTGGCGAGAAAACTGCTACCATTTCGTACAAAAATGATTTTATCGGTTCGCAACTTAATTTTTGGTCAAGTTTCTACGTTTTTATAGACATGAACGTCACAGGAAAATAGTTTTCACCGCTATTGTGATAGATTTTCAATACGAAAAACAAATGACGATTCCACCCTCAATATTATATTACCAAACAATTTCTCGGTGACAACCGTTGCCGAGATATCGTGCGATACGTTCATAAGCAGCGTACAGCGCTATAAAAAATTAAAGGATTACGTTTGCGGGAAAGAAAATGCAGCCTTTTGATTACGCTTTTTACAAGAATATTAATTTTATAGGCTTCTTACCACTGAGAAACAGGAAAAGTGTTGTTATTCCCGGGGAATTCAATGTGGTATCCAAAGTCCCAGTCGTAGGCTTATCCAAAAATGAGACGAAAAGCTCCTACGGAAAGCGATCGCAAAATGGTAACAGTCGAGGGGATGGTGGCGACTGAAGAAAAATTAAATATAAAACGAATTTTTCTCACTTCAGCTGTCTGCTGTCAAAGAACCAAAGAAAAGAAAAGGGTAGACAATGAAAAAAGAGGTGTCGGCCTCTTTAGTCAGTAAATTCTCATTTTCCCTAATTGTATGCGAGGAGCGTTTGAAGTTTCCTTGGCAACGGTGTCATTATGCATTACACAGAAAAATGGTTAATGCGCTTTAAAGAATCCTTACTTCATTGCGTGAATAATGCGGCTTAATGCTGTATAGCTTCTACCAATAATAAGTCATGTTTTTGCACCAAAGTCATTTAATATGTCGTTCGAAAGATGGGGCAAACCAGTAAAAATTATTATCAAAGAAGAACGTATTATAATCTCACAGTTGCTTTTAAATGAAGTGTCACTCGAGCTGAATCTCATTAACGATTGTGAACCTGGGGTTAATCTACAGGCGGAAATTGTTTAAATAGTATTCGTGTTTTTTATGTCAGATGTCAGAAAATTTTCTACTTGGCAACTTTGCGTCAAGAGAACAAAATAGACCATCGCACGGCGCCTGGCACGGCGTAAAGTAGAGCATTTCCTCGAAATATATCAACGAGTTCGACTTAATCAGGTGTTAATACCGTTTGAGCGACATGCGTGTTAAATCGCCTGAAAGACGATTGATCAAAAAGAACTAGAGGTTA